ATTATCCTCGAAATAATCCCCAACAGCTGGCTCAAGAACAGCGTATTCCTCCTGAATGTGTACAGCTCGCCGTCGGACAAGCGGCAGGGGTTCGCTTCGATCATGGCAAAAGCGGTGGCTCTGGCCAGGGGGGCCCCCATCGTGGTAGCAGGAGACTTTAATGCTCCGCACGACGCTTGGGGATACGCCAGGCAGTCCCCCAAAGGCAACAACCTCCTAAAGGCCGTATCTAGCTGTTCTCTTGAATTGATTACGGACCCGCAATACCCGACAAGAATTGGCACATCGGTGGTCCGAGACACAACTCCAGACTTGGCGTTCGTCAAGAACGTCGCCGGAACAGGGTGGCAAAATTTGCAAGAGAATCTAGGTAGCGACCACTTCATAGTGGCTATTACCCTAGCAGTCAATGCAGCTCCCCCCAGGGAATTTAAAGTAACGGACTGGGATGCCTTTCGTAAATTGCGGAAGGAGGACCAGGATGAATACGACAGCTTAGACAGCCTCTTTGCAAGGCTCAAAGAGGATGCTAATGCTGCGACCAGGGTTGTCAAAACGAACCTGAGGGTTGATCGGATGGATGCACGCCTCGCGCATCTCTTAGAGGCTAAGAATTCCATCCTGTCCCGGTCGAGGACGCAAAGGCTCAATCGCCGACTTCGAAAGAAAATTGCGCAACTCAATCGCGAGATCGAAGCCTACTCTATTGAACTCTCCAAACAGCAGTGGAATGAAGTATGTTCTTCGGTTGACGGAAAGATGAGAGTGGGGGCCAAATGGAACCTCCTCAAACAATTACTTGATGAGTCACAGTCGAAGGGAAATCAACGATTGGCTATTGACAGAATCGTTCACAACCAAAAAGCGAAGGGAGTGTCCGAAAAGGCCCTCCTGAAGAGGCTAGCGGACAGCTATCTTCCGCTGGGCCCTTCCGGCGATGCGGACTATCCGCATTACAGGGGTGGAATGGTGGCGGAGCTGGACGCACCTTTCACTGAACCAGAAATCTGTAAGGTCCTCCACGAGCTCAACGGGCGCTCTGCACCGGGCCCGGATGGAATCTCAAATAAGCTCTTACGTAACTTGGACGGCAAATCAATCGAGAAGCTTACCGAGGAAGTCAACAAGATCTGGGAGACGGGGCACGTCCCCGAATCCTGGAAGACAGCTTCGGTAGCGCTTATCCCAAAGCCAGGCAAACCTCTGGCTTTGGAGAACATGCGACCCATCTCGCTTACGTCCTGCGTAGGCAAGGTGGCCGAACATGCGATTCACCATCGGGTATCCGAGTACATAGAAAGCAGAGAGCTATTTTTACACAATATGGTAGGATTCAGATCTGCACTATCCACACAGGACGTGATGCTCCTTATCAAAAGACAAATCATTGACAACAACACCAGGGATACTAGAGGCATACTAGCTCTAGACCTAGCCAAAGCTTTTGATAATATCTCGCACAAGTTTGTGCTTGAGGCAATTTCGGTTATGGGTCTAGGGCAACGGTTCCACGCATACGTTAGGTCTTTTCTCAGGGATCGCAGGGCTACCATTAGGATCGGTCAAATCCAATCCACGGAATTTACCTTGGGAGCGAGAGGCACCCCACAGGGGGCAGTTATCTCTCCTCTACTCTTCATTATTGCCATGAAGGGCCTCTCGGAGCGACTCGCTACGGTGCGCGGGGTTAACCATGCTCACTACGCGGACGATATCACCGTGTGGTGCATGGGAGGGTCCGACGCCGGGGTAGAGCAGGCGCTCCAAGAGGCATTAGACATCATGGAGAACTTTCTAGTCGGTTCGGGCCTGAGCCTGTCATCGGCAAAGTCTGAGTTACTACTATACAGACCCACCCGACAAGGACTGAGGAACCTCACTCCTTTAGAACAGATTCCCATAGCTTTATACACACGGGATGGGCAGAAAATACCCAGGGTGGACTCCATCAGGGTCCTCGAACTCCTGCTAGAGTCCAAGGAGGGCAACTCACGAACTATAGCCCGCATCACCTCGAAGACGGAGAACATGCTTAGGCTCATACTCAGGGTCTCGAACCGCAGGGGTGGGCTGAGCGAGAGCAATCTCCTTCGGCTCTATCATGCATTTCTCATGAGCCACATTAATTATGTCGCTTCGGCGTTGCGCTGGTCCAAAAGAGAAGAGGCAAGAATTGATACACTAATGCGCAAAAGCATAAAGCGAGTTCTAGGCTTGCCTATCCACACTAGCACCGAGAAGCTCCTACAATTGGGCATGCATAACTCCCTCTCGGAGGTGATCGAGGCCCAGCAGATGGCTCAGGTCGTGCGACTATCGTCCTCGAGGGCTGGTAGGCGCATCCTGGAATCCATAGGCTGCGGTCCTACGGCGACTAACCAGCGTAATGCAACACTACCACCCTCAATCACAGGCACGTTTTCGATAGCTCCACTTCCAAGAAATGTCCACCCACAATACAATGTAGGGCGCCGCATAGCTCGGGCCCGTTCCTTATTAAAATCAGTTGCAAACAGACCGCATCTCGCGACCTTTGTCGATGCAGCCCAGTACGGGCGTTCGGATCGCTTCGCAGTGGTCTCGGTCGATCATAGTGGCACACTCCTATGCTCTGCCTCGGTTAGAAAGGTTTCGGCAATGGTGGCTGAGCAAATCGCCATCGCCATAGCAATGAAGGACCCATCGCGTCCTAATGTCTTTACAGATTCGCGTTCCGCAGCTAGGGCTTTCGCCTCGGGCTCGATCTCGCGTGAGGCAGCGGCCATCCTCGGCTGTGAGGGGGCTGCCGGGTTTCACACCATAACATGGTTCCCGGCCCACATGGGGGCCAACGTACATCCTGATGTCCCCAACGCCGATGAGTTTGCCCATGACCGTGCGCGAGGTATCGCTCACCGCGGCGGTCCCGGCGGATTCGCAGGCGGGGACGCCGGAAGATACAGGGACTCGCTACTCACTTTCCACGAGATCATGACTCATTATCATCTATCTCGGAGGACTTTTCCACTTCCTCATCCTAAACTTACGCGACCGCTATCATCGGCCTACAGGATGCTCCAAACGGGGTCTTTCCCTTCGCGTGGCAGGTTCAGCCATTTTTCGCCCAACATCGAGCCGCATTGTCCGGACTGCGGTGAGGCGTATTGCTCATTACCTCATATGCTCTGGCAATGTCCTGCGTTACGTGACGCAGAGTTCAACAAAGAAGAGGACTGGGAGGAAGCCCTTAACAGCGGCGACCTCTTGGTTCAACTTCGCGCTGTCCAGAGGGCCTGCGAGAGGGCGGAGGGCCACTGTCTTCCGGTCCCTACGTGGGAGCGGCCCGCGACTGCTACGGATTCCCCCTAAACGGGGCCGTTACAACGCAGTTCCTCAGGACCTGAATAAAGTTCTTTGTCTGTCTGTCTGTCTCTGTAATCGCACGATGCCACGCTTCGCCAACACCACCTAGACTTTTTTTTTGAAAAAAGTCTAGGGGGTGTTGGCTTCGCACGGTGTCATTCACACCCCCACTGCGCTACTCGGCTCGTCTCGTATCCCTCGAAGGCGGGCGGTATTTCAGCGGCAGAACGCGCGTTCTGAATTCAGTGGGCGTCTTTGCGGTCCTATCCCCCGTACTCCTCTCCATCGAAAGCGGGCGGGGTCGGAGCGCGCATTCGGAATACAGTCAAGGGCGTCTTTACTTGGCTTTCGCTTGACTTCACGCTTTGCTTGAAACGAGTAGACGCAACATTCGCGCGATAGCCCCACGCTCGGCGACGCATTTACTCGCGTTCCCCCCCGTGGGAAGATGCAGGAGCCATTTTTTTAAGTGTGAATACACTTGATAAGCGACCCCAAACCATCCACCGCCGTCGGCGGCGTCCGCAGTCTTCTCTCTATCTTTAAAAGAAAGAGGACTTCTGCATTTCCGATGGAGGCGGAAATGTTGTAGGCCCGTGTGCTCAGATTTGGGTGCACGTTAAAGAACCCCAGGTGGTCTAAATTTCCGGAGCCCTCCACTACGGCGTCTCTCATAATCATATAGTGGTTTTGGGACGTTAAACCCCACATATCAATCAAAAAGAAAGAGGACTTGGCGGGCCGCAGCGCGACGCTCTACCGAATAAGCCACGGACGCGACGCTTATAGTCCCCCTCCCCCTTCGCTCGCTCCTCCGCTCTCCTCCCTCGCTGCAGCTGCGCGCGCACCCCTCTCTCTCGCGCGCCCGCCTTCTCTCTCAGTCTCCCGTCGAGAGCGGGTCGTGCGATGGATGTCCCGGAGGCAACGCTACCATCTGGATATAAGGCGCATTACTGACACCGATATCAGCGTCGCCAACGGATTTTAACTTTACTCCCCCTCATAGCATCACCCCGTGCATTCGCACTTAACCATGTTCACCCTCGGGAAAATGTTTAATTTTTTTTCTTCGAGCTTGCCACGCAACGAAGCATTTGCGCATTCCAACATCTTGCACTTGAAAGACAGACAATACTTCTGACATGCAAAGTAGTATTTTGGTTCATGTCCTCACTTCTTTAAATGACCAATCAACAACAAGCTAAAGAAAAATAAATCCGCAAAGTTTACAAAATCCGTCACTCTGCCTCACAAGGTGTCACTGGCGTAGCCGGAGCGGGCGGGTGTTGGGGAATTCAACAACCTAAAATTTTCACTTTTGCATGTGACGTATAAGGGCACAAACGCATGAACATATATATGAGATATGATTGAACCCCCCTCCCCTGAAAAAATTCTGCCGACAACACTGCGGCCGGGAGCCTCCTTGTTATGTGCGTAGTCAGGGTATGACAAACCGGGCTCATGCCTCCCTCCCCTCTCCGAATTTTTTTCGCCATGACACAAATCGAAAAGGACCATTTCAAGGAGATACCCCCTCGAAAAAAAAATTTCCGGCTACACCCTAGAGTGCAAGTGGCAATTTAATACTATAGTGCATGATATGCTCAGTATATTTTTTGTTCCTCAAATGAATCAACTAAATACAGGCAAGGATAACTTAGCAATTCACTTTTATTTTTCATTCATTCCCATCACGTATGCTTGCATTCGCTTGTCAAAGTATTCGACTGGTAACGGCCAGTATGAAATCTGAAAACTTCATCTTCACAAGGGGAAGCTGGGCGAAATTTACACGAGAAATGTAGAAGCCAGCAGACGTACTGCGAAAATGGGTGGAAAAGGTGAACTGCACGCACATGAGGCTTAAAACTTAACAAAAATAATCAACATTTCTTAGGGTTACAGTTGAAACACAAACAATGACAATGGGTATAAAAAGGTGTTCTTCATAGTACTTCCAATGCGATTACAAAGAAGTGAAAAGAGTAAGAAGTGTATAACTTAGTGTTTCATTTCAACACTTATCCAATAACACAAGCTAAACTGCTCTACCGTTAGCTTCTTCTAAACTGCCCCAAAATTCTGTCTTGTTCTCACGACAGGAAAACAAGAATATCTAAGCTTGAAACCGTTACAGTTGCAGCTAGTGTTGGCACTTGACAATTGGCTTTTGATTAAATGCTGTTTGACATCATTGATGAGTTTTGAAATCGTTCATATAACAAAACTCAGTAGCTCATTCTAGTTCCTTCTTCTAATCATTGGCCAGTAGCACAAGAATATCTCATGCATGATCAGCCACAACAATGAAGGCATTGACAAAAACTTTTGCAGTAACTGCAGCACTGAGGACAAATAATTTTTGTATAAGTTGGACAGCAATGCTACAATACCCGTGATGTCCTGAATATATTAGCTCACGGCAGGTACCAGCATCTGAAATGCAAGGCGAATATTCTTTATATACCGATGAGGATTTAGCAATAAAAGGCTGAAGACAGTAATTAAAGCAATGGAAATTTCATATTATTATTTGCAACAACAATTCTAGCAGATTTGAATACAATATTGTTTAGACAAAAGTGGTGCAGTAAACTGGCTATAAAGGTGGTTGCCAGCTAGTTTTCTGGAGTTTGAATTTACTTATCTCAGCTTCTTAAGTACGCCCTAAATACTGCAATATGTGTTCCCAGCACCACTCATATGTGGCTAAGTAGATCTCCGAATATTTTGGAGATTACGATAAGCTATCAAGGTGCTATAAAAACTATTTCATAGCCACCTTTTTCTAAAGACAAACAGTTGCAATCTGTCTAAGCACATACATTTTTACACTATTTTAAACACTGCAGCTATAAATTTAACTTCGAGGCAGTGCAGCATGATGTGAACTGCTCAAGGGAAGATTGCGCACATTTAATAGCGCCACATATTTCAAGACCTACTCCTGCTTCTAAATTTACCTATTACTAGCATCACTTGGTTACATTGTAAATGTACTTATAGCATCTGTAAATCAAACAACATTCTTCACTTTTTAATTGGAAGACATAGCCAACATTGTTTTTATAACTGCACTGCTCAGTGTATGTACAGTTGACTCACAACTTCATTACAACTGATATGGACCAGCGGTCTTAGTTCGGATAATACGACTATGGGTGACAAGGGCTAAAAATTTACGTCCTTATCCCCATGCAAAGGGACAAAGCACAATGTGTGGTGCAACTTATAGTTAACCAGATCATTCATTCGTGATTTGCATGAATGCTACAGCTGAGTTATGGTATTAAAGCATTATTAATGTAACGGGATGCCACGAGCCAGCATAATGTGCTTCTTGTTGTTTTAATCTATTTCAGTATCACGGATAAGTGGGCTAGTTGGTATTCGTTCATCTTTTAACTGAATAAAGGCGCGCTCGCAGACACGGACACTAGAGCGAGAAAATGCACACAACAAAGAGCCAAGCTTCTTGCTCTAGTGTCCGTGTCTGTGTGCGTGCCCTTATTCAGTTAAACATCTTGTAATCTAGTTAGGTAAAAGTGGCATGGTTAAATTGAAATGGCTACCAGCTGCATTTTATTATAATAATGTTACGTAACAAGCGTCAGTAATCAACTGAGCCCTTATGAGTTCCACAAAGTCATTGGAGCTTCCTCATACTGGGGTACTGGAGTCATTAAACAGTGTCATAAGAAGACTGTTTTAATGATTGAGTAGTCTAAGTTAACCCGAACCCGCAACTGGCAATATGCACACAGACTAACTTTCAATTCTTATCCGTGCGTTCACAATACACGACTTATCATTAAGTGCTCTTGCATCAGGCATTCACTGACTGGAGTATGGATTATACAGCGCTGAAGGGAAAGTGCAAATGGAAAACCGAAAATCCCTAATCAACAATTAACTGACCAACTGAGACGGTAATGAATACAAATATCAACTAAAGAAGGCCGGGTGTTGCTGTCACTGCCGATTCACGTCGCCAGCATACCTGCCTGCAAAAAGTGCTAGTGTATATCCGATATAATCCAATACCTGTGTTTTCAGGAAGCAGCACAACAGCTCAGTCTCATACATTCCTGATATCTTCAGCCTGGGTAAAGTATGCTGCACTGATGCTAAATCACACAACTAGACCTGCACCGAAACATGCAGATTATGTGTGACCCAAATTACTGCTTACTGTTTCCCTAATAAAGAGTGCCACTATGTACATACAGCGTTGAGAACACTTTAGAAAAACATTATATCAGTTGTCTTTCCACTTTAAAGTCCTCTTGAAAAACATTTGACCGGTAAGTTCCGTTAACTGCCGTGTCTTACTTCAGAGAAACTCGGTGAAAGCCTATCTTGAGGAAGAAGATAGGCTTCATGAAAAAAAATATTAACCTGATGTGCTAAGCAAAGACAAGTAAACCTGAGATATAGGGAAAATATTTAAATGGGAAATCTTGACTTGCGAAGAAAAAGTACGAACGGATTACTATATTTTTTGTACATTTCAGAGAGGAATGCTGCGTTCCTTTGTAGCACAACAGAAAAGGCACGTACCTACATGCTGTGCCAAGGGCTGATCAGTATATAGATGAATAAAAGGAACTGGGCTATGTAACATTATGTACACGCACGTACCTTCAAGGTAACCTACAGGTTATTTTCATTGCTTTCCATGCGTAATAAAAGTTGAGGCCCTCACATTTGAAAAAAAAAAAGAACTTCAATATTCCTTCAGAATAGGAAAAAATATGAAGAAAATAAGCAGACGAGTAACAAAGGCTGTGTCAATTTCAGCCGAATTACAAAAAAGAATGGTTCAACAGTTCAAACAAAGATGCCATATTATCACTGTAGTTCCGTCATTTCTAGTCGTGTAGAAAATTTTCTCATGGCTGCCATTTAAATGATAACTCTCATCAAGAAAACTTTACAAACAACTGTCTACTTCATTTTACCAGCTACCAAAACAACACACAGATGTATTTTTTTATGCTGTGCAACAAACGAGACCGCAGGGGTGGGTGTAGCAATTGCTCTCGACAACATCAAAGTCTACTCTTCATTACTGAGATATATTACACTATTATTCGATTACTAACATATACTAGTTTATTTTATCGTCCAGTTCATAACACCCTTTTCTATTTAGTAAGTCAAATAAGTGGCTTCATGGCGGCGCTTTTGCAATGCCAGTTTCTCAAAAACGTTTTATATTGTTGATAGTGAACTGTTGTCGAACTCAAATCTAGCAGGCCTATATGTGCATCCTCTTTTCTCTAGTCCCTGCAAAAGGAGTGAGAGATTATATACATGGTAGTTTTGCACACTTGAAAACACGACATTCCCAACAGCTAGCCTATCATACAAGTCTACTGTACTTATTACATAAGCTCATTAGGTATTCTTGATATGTTAAAAACATGATTTGTGACATCAGCAGCATGTGCAATCGTTTTACAAGCATACGGGTGTCATGTCTCGCATTACTCGAGGTTGCACAAGGGCGTACCTCCTATCACTGAACTGCTGCCCACTGCTCATACTGCGAGAAAACACATGAAGTGCTGTGTTAAAAAGACCATTTCAGTACGAAAAGTTGGAAACTTTAGTAGGCCAGCAGTTGCTTTGCCACAGCCAGAATACAGCCCACTGATCTGTGAGATCAACCTCTTTTCATAACTGAAAAAGCACACCAAAATATTATACTGTTATTGTCAATCGATTGTAGTTGCCATCACTTATTCACAATGCACAAAAATTATATTCATAAAAAAGTTAGTTAAAGTTGAGCTCAAGTTTAGTCAGGGGATATTACATTGAATAAACTCTAGAAAATAGAGGGATACATAGTGTTGTCTCATTTCAGCATTGCTACACATCCACTTTTGAGACTAATAAAAAATTATATGTACCATTGCGGACAACATTTCCTTTAAATTACCTTTTAGAAGTTATCATCATAATGTCATATTTATATTTAGCCGTGTAATTTATCTATTTTTACTCCAGTTGTAAAGTCGTATGTTAATGTGTGAAAATTTTTTTATATAATTCTACCTGTGACAATGTTGAACGAGTCAGTGGCAAACTTTAGACCATGTAAAGATCAATCTTCCTCAAGAAGTGAATAACATACGGGGCAGTAGGTGTAGCAGAGTTTTTTAAAAAGATTTGTTTAAGCTTACAATGCTATTTTCAAGTGGAGGGCTCAAGTCAGTTTTCCTGAGCGTTCATAGACTCATCTTCCTCTCGATATGACGGTCTGAATTAGGCATATTGAAAATCTATGCATGAACACACAATACCATAGAACATGGTATCATTCACTGGAGAAATTCATAAATTATAATACTCACAATGAACACAACTGTTTAACATTCAGTTCTCTTATGGTAGGCGTCATCTTACACATCTGCACACATGTGAATTGTTTTAAAAATCGACACTTGTTTCAAAAAACAAGAGTTATATGATGTTCTAACAAGACAACATTTTTAATTCGTTGGCATACTCTTCTCATCTTACCATTTCAAACACTTCTGCAAACAGCACTTCGAAGTGTGTGAAAGTTTTTAGATCACTTTTAGAATATCGTCAAAAGCATTGAGTATCTTGCCACTCGTCTACGTAACCTTTCGACATTCCAGTTGCCTTCAGCATTCACAGAGGGTCCTGCACACAATACTGTTGTATGCACTCAAAGTTCTGGCCCGTCAAAGATAAAGTTTAGCGATAAATTACTCGTCGTATTTACATGTACACTCGAACACAAGCACAAAAAGAGTTCGGCCTTGAAGGATAGTGTGAAGATTCTCTTCCTTTCTTCGACATCACCTCCAAGGTCACAGCACTGTGAAAAAAATATCGTGGGTGTATTTGCAGTCTGTACCACACACAGCACTGTTTTTTTTTTGTTGTCCTTGGCTTGGCTACAAACTAACGAACACATCTTCAGGAATAGTTAACAGTAGGATGAGGGAGTGGTCATTATTGCTCCCGAGTCGACTGCAATATGGCAGCCAAGGGTCTATAGGCCAGGAAGTGAGTGAAGTCTAGAAGGAAACAACGTCGTCTTGGCTTGCGTAGATCGCACGAACAAGTCGCCTTGCAGGAATTGTAAGGGGGTTGCAGTTCAGGGAAGTCATATTCCAGATTCGGCTATCCCTTCGTCATCTAGAGGAAGAGAAAAAAAGAGAAAATGAAGGTCTTGTGTTTTTCTGAATGCAAAAGAAGTCTAGATGGCAGATGGTGATGCCTAGAAGCACATAAATTAATATGCAATCAATCATTTTGGAGGAGGAATATCAAACTCAGAGCTGGGACTCAGATCACTAAAAGTGATAGTTACTGGCAACTTATTACAAATGTTTTTACGTCCTGTAATAAAAAAATCAAATAATGTAGCCATATTTTAAATAATTCTTTTCCCTGTTACTGCATGTTGACATGATTGCATTTAGTAGACAGCACAGTTTGCTATAGGACATCATGCAGTTCGCTTAACCTAAACAATATCTAAAATATGTAATTTATGATATGTAGTACGTTAAAACATAGGTATGAAATTAAAGAGGGTCAGGTAGAGTGTTACAAACAATCAAAACTTCGAAATGTTGAGCTGATCTATCTTAGTGTTATATATGCGTCACTATTGAAACAAAACTTTTGTTCTTCCTGTTTAATTAAGAAAATTTGCTATCTGTCATTGTTTGTGCGAGAAAATGAAGAAGCATAAAAAATACATGTCTGCATACATTGCAAATACTATAAGGATTGCAAAACAGGCAATGAGTTTCCTGAAGTTTAAGAATATACTGTGTGGTCTAAAAGCTTTGGAAATGACAACTATGAAAAATGCAATTATAATGGCCATGTATATCTTTATACCGTGTGCCTACATTTCTGTTTTCATGAGTACAGTCGATCATCTACGTAAAACACTAATACAAAAAATTATTGAAAACAGTGAAATGTTCGGTTTAACAAACTCAACGTCTTTCTCTGTGATAGCAGAGCGAAGCATAATGATAAGGAATTTTTCGGGGTGAGAAGCAACTTCCTTTTAAATTTGGCAGCACAGGATTATGGTGATATGCAGAAGACAACTTACCACTACGATCGACTGATTATTGTTCCAGTTTGCTCTGTTACAAGCGAACTGCTTGGTATCGCGAAAGTGACAGAAACATCAAAGCACCAAAAAACGTTGGCACATGCTGCAGTGTCCCAATGCAAAATCATGCAAGCTTCTGTATCCACAACAGCAACCATCCACGACACAGGCGCATACTTATATGAATAGGATACTGCCCATTTTCGCCATGCACTACGAATCATTACTTCGGGAGAATTAGCTACAATCGTCCTGTCCCGAGCCCCTGATATACAGAACCACTCAATTGAATTTCTATGAATTGATGATCATATATACAGTACAATAAAACACCTAAAACATGAAGATGGTGTCATTATATTCTTCTTCATCTTGGGCATTTTTATTGCAGTGACTTGCTTAATGAAGGCAATCAAATATCCACCTACATAGTACACGTGGCTCGCACATTAACCACGCTCCTATTTACGCCTCTCTTTTAAACGTCTGGTCTACACTACAAGTATGCAAATGCGTATGACCATGTTGTGTCACATCAATACTGTCCAAACGAGTGACCAACACAGCTGTTATTTAAACGGTTTACAATACTGCTGTGACGCATCAGCGCAATTCTGTTCAGAATTCAATATACTTCAGTTATAATGTACACAATCGATTGCGATATATTATTATCACCCTACCATGCTGCAAATTCTTGTTCTTCTTATTTCCTTTCTTCCTTTTACATCTATCGAATAATATCACTGCGGTGAATCAGCACACCGTGCTGAGAATGTATGGCTGATGTTTGGGATAATTGTGATAATGTGAACATTGTCTCTGTGCCTAGGTACTGTTATGCACTGCTTTGCTTAGTGGAATTTAGCTGCAGTTATGTTTAGTTGCACTTTAGCTGCAGTTATGTTTAGTTTATTTTTAGAATGATGTGTACAATAAAATGACCTATATGTACAGGTTGATAACAGCACTCCTGTTATAAATAAAAAAAAGATTATATGGTATTTATATGTGCCACAAATATTAACTTGTGCAACATTGAGGTAGTGCTAAAAATGAAGTGAGCTGAAAGTCTACATATAGGTGATCTGTCTTGCCCTCTTCAATCCATCATAATTACATCTGTAAATGATGGTACTGTATGAAACGTAGGTGGTAAAAATATTTTAGGCAAACTAAAATTCAGCCAGCAGTTGCAGTGTAAATCTAGCATGCATCTTGCACATGCTTCACTTAACACAACACGGGTGATGGGAGTGTAAGGGGGAGATCTGGGGTCATACCGCCAAACACCTCATGGCGATGCTTCAGCGTGACATTTTCACAGGGCCTATTACAACAACGGGCATTAATCGAAGTTGTGATGTTACTGAACATATGTTGTTGATGCCATAGAGTTTCCTAAATATACAGCAGAGGGAACTCTTGCACTGCTGTTTATGGGAGCTGCAACGCACGGCGCTTCAGCGAGCACAGGAATTATGTGTAGTACATGTATCTGTCTGATCTTCGTACTTTGGGCTCTGTGTGTGTTCGTGAGCCTTGGAGAACTTTTCTCCAAAACAAAAATCAGCAAATGCTCAGCAGCTGCACCTCACCACCTTGATTTTTTAAACTTACCATTTTAAATCGGGTCACCAAGTTAACCAAGTTCAAAAGGGCTCGTTCTTTTTTTTTGAAACAAAATGTAAACACAGCAATACAAAAAAGCCACGAGTTGGATACACCGCTCGCAAGTACGAAGACTAAGCAAATCCGTGTACTACCCATCATTTAGATGGCCGCTGAACGATTGCAGTGTGAGGCCCTCTTAGTTCACTTTAGGAAACTCTGTGGTCCATGCACCCGATGTGATGCGAAGATAGGAATAAGAGTGGATCTATCATTGGGTTTCTTCCATCGCACAGTATGCTTCAATACCTCTAGGAAACGGACGTTTTGTCGAAAATATATTCACATATCTAGGTGCCAATGGACAGTGTTGAAAACTGCAGTGCGGATAGCATTTGTCGGGCACATTTCTTTCTTTCATGCACAAACCACTCAGTTAAACTTACTCAATTTGATATGACTCAGGGACATATGTATTTCTGACGTTGTTACTATTGTTATTAACGAATAAAATTTTTAGATACTAAGTACTAATAATTAAAAACAATATAATAAACAGAGTGCACACCAGGCATGCCATGACAAGGGGAACTTTCTGTTGCCACAATAAAAAAATAGCCTCGTACGTTGCCTCACAGGAAAGTGAAAGAGCCTGAAAGCATCGCCATAGACATGGGTTCAGAATATGACACCGGATTTGAGCATGTTTCGGGATGCAGGTATTGGAAAGTAAACTTGCAGGCTATTCGGGAGGTGGCAGTCTAGAAAGATCGCGAGAATAGATACCGTGTTTTGCAGAGCTACAGAGCGGCGGGCTAATAGCTTCGGGCTGAAAATAAAGAGAGAGGAACAGAGAGGGAGAAAGGACATCACAGCAGCTAAGTATGTATCAAGCCAACATAAATGCATGAATTCTCACTTTACCAGAAATGCAGGGTGCTTTTTTTTCAACAGTCAGAAATAAACTGTATAAAAGAGGTCCTCAAACCCTACCGCATTAACTCGTTTATTTAACATACAATAGAGAAAAAAATTCTGGCTTGGGAACTATGCATTTTTTCTCTATTCATTTTGGTTAAATCTAGAAGGCAATGATAAAGATCATTTGGGTGCCCAGTATTGGTAAATTAGGCAGTATTCATGCCTAATATGCAGAAAGTTCTAAAAGGCAGTATATAGAGATGATTAATCAAACAAACTTAAACACAAGTGCATAAATGGTGTTCACAATCAATTCATTTTGTTTTCAGCACACTGTATTTAATTCTTTTGGTATATGTCAAGCTATTCGTCCACTAAGATGGACATGACTTTGAGAAAGTATTTCGACGTGTGATCCCAAACTCCCAGTATTAGTGCATGCAATCTGGCTCGTGCTAGCAGCCCAAAGTTTTCAGTAGTTGCCTCCGGCCAAGATCCCGGTGTGCCAGATGCATCATACAACAAAATCGCAGCTGTGGCAAGGGTAAATGTAATGAACCACAATAAATTGCAGCCTCTATAGATTAAGCTTGAAGCTGCTTTCTTAAACTTATTCCTCAATTCTGAGCAATACGGAACATCAGTGAAATGCTGACACATGCTGCGCTCATAAGTGCAATTTAAACTAACACTACATGCGTGACGCATTCTGTTTCCATCTTCCGGATCACAGAAGCTCGCTTTATACCATTTATACCAATGTCATCGTGAACAGGCAGGGCTCATATATATGACTTCACAATTTGGTCAGTGGCAGTAAGCAACACACTTAGTCAGCAGGTAGTGGAATAAAGCTGCAAACAAGGGCATAGGTAATCTCATAATGTCACACAGGTGTTAAGAAAGTAGATAGAATTTTGCAGGAGGAGGTTATGATAATCAAAAGTCTGAATTCATGCTGATATAGCATTACTTCATGGGCAGTGTTCTATCTAAATGTTATAAAATATGTGATGTAGTACACCACTACTATTTTAAAACTTGTACTACATGGTGCACGTAGTTATGCAAATTATTTTTTGTGCCCATTGCTTTTTATTATCGTTATCAAGAAGAACCCTACCAATTGAATTGAACGTGCATTGAAAACAGCATCAACCTAGAGAACCGAGCAGGCTAGCAGACATGTCTAGGTGTCCCGACATGTGGCCTGGTTGTACAATTCGTAGTGTAGCATAAATACATGATGAAACAGGGCTTATTAGATTTTATCGGTTCAAAAAGCAAAAAAATTGAATTTTGTGCAAATTTTTGTAGTGAATACTTGGCACTACAAAGTTTATTAGCAGAGTGTTTAATTATGAATTTTCTGCTCGAAAGTCAAAGTAGTCCTGCATGGACAGCTTTGTGGAACGACAGTATGCACTACGATTTGTGGAGTAAATGATCATTAATACATGGTAACGTTGAGATTGTTTTCATCTTGCTTTGAAGGAAGACAAAAGAAAGTTTCGCTTTGGTAGGTTAAAAAGGTTTTACTACTTGTGCATGTAAGCGCCAACTACTATGACACTGCGCCAACTTTTCATGACAATGCCTCTTTATTAACGCTTCTTGCAGAAATTTTACCTGGAAAAGGAAACTTCAGTAGTTATTATTTGTTACGCTTTTCAAAACCTACCGTGCAATATAAAATGTGTACATTATTTATAGCACACTTTATTTGCATAAATGTTGCACTTTCAGCCTCTGTACAACTAACAATTTGCATGCTTGAGCATGCAGCAATCTACTTACCCTCAAAACCTTGGTTGTCATGCGCTTCGGGTCGTGGAGAGTCTAAAACGTCTTCTTTTCCTTCAAGGACGCACATCAGGCACTGATGGATGCAGATGTACTGTTGCTGCAAAGTGATAAGACAAAACATTGCCTTTTCTTCTCATATCTGTATGCTTATAAAGACCGGATCGTTCCCTATTTATTAGACTGAAGAGCAACTCTGAGCCAGTAAAAATCCTATGAAGCAATTTCAAGAATCTGTTTATCAGTTTTCTTCAATGTTATAGTCCGGTGCTTCTTGGTAACACACAGGGCATAGCTTCTTTTTTTGATAATGTATTCCTAATGAGAGGTTACAAGTCAAATGAAAGAAACTAAAAATTGATGCCCTTCCAACAATGGGTGCCAGAGTATGAAATGCCACAGTTTTCGCAGTATCAGAATGTACGGTAGGTACCCAACAATACTGTGTCATTGCCATTTTACAGCAACAATTCAAAATTTTAAAATTGGCTCTGTTTAGCTGGTATTTATGATTTTAAAGTCACCACAGCATGGGCCATTTTACCTCATTCTGGACCATCCAGACCCGCTCGCGACGCATTTCGTAGACAATTCCGAAGATGTCCACCGAGTCATACTTGCGCAGGCCTTGTAGAATCCGGTCCAGCGCAATAAACGTGCCGGAACGACCGACACCGGCACTAAAGAAAAAAAAGTGAACTTCACTCATCAAAGTCTCTCTAAATATTTCACACATGCCTCAACCAACTGTCACAATGCTTTTTTTTTTTCAATTAGGCTATCCTTGTCTAATATGCTATCGTTGACATTATAGTAGTAGTAGTAGTAAAAAGATAACCCAGAAATGAATAATTCAAAATGATTATGATAACTTTTATTACCTAGTCACCGTCATCACATTCACAGCTTTGCAGTCTGGAAGTTCTCACCGTGCAGAACTACCTTAATTTCTTTTTCAATTTTTAAGTTACTTCAAGGAGGGTATTTGTAAGTAGAAGTGCCTTCGTTATTGCAAGAAGCTCCCCGCCTTAAAGTTGTGAACTGTCAGAGAGACTTCCCATAAAATAATAACCATAAAGTCACTTAGACCCTTAATAACCTCGCGAAGGCTGGTAAAGTTTGTAGCTGTGTATTTTAGATTTCCAAAAATAATTTCATTGCGATAATAAATAAATGACACCATTCAGTGGCTATGGTCAGACAGTTAAAATATTGAGATGTAAAAGCAACCAGCCATTCAACTAATACAAAGAATTGCAACAGCCTTAATGATGTCAATCAAACTGATAGAAAATAGAACGCACTAAAGTCTCACATTGACAAAATTGACATTTTCAGATCTAGTTTTAGATCTAGCGGGGAGCACGCAAGGCGGCGGTAGCACGTGCTCGCAGACAGAGTCCCGATGTGCGAGCCCGCGAGGCAGAGGCGGGCCGTGAAGCTGCGTGCTGCCGCCGCCAAGATACTAAGATACTGCCATATGATAGCGGGAGGACCAAGCGAAACGGTATACATACACAGTGTTTCTCACGTCCTTAAATGAAGATCGACTGGGCAAATTACACGGAAGATTTACGGTTTACTGATGATTCCCTCCAGAGCTATGCCCACTCATCATCATTCACCCTGTGGATATGCTGTGATTTTTCTCTATTAAAATAATCGGCGACAGATTGCCAATCAACCATGATGCTGCCAGAGGATTTGATGCACGAGCAAGCCACGGTAGAACCGTTTAATAACTTGCGCCATGTTTTGACGCTGAGCTCAAACCAAAACTACCACACCTACTCATTATAGTCCTGCTATCATGAATGACAACCACGGCGCTATGAAGGCACATGCGCGGTCAGCGCACCTAGCCCTAGCGTAACTACATTTTGCCGTAACAGCTTGCAAACACAAATGGGGTTGTGACGACTCGATCATGAGTCACCACGAAAGTACTCACGCATCCAACGCGCACCAGCTTAAATAATCCTGCTTGCAAAAACATTTTTTGGCAAAAACATTCTGCGTGTTTATATAATAAATAAGAAAACAAGCACGTGTTTTTACGATGTACAGTCGAGCTCACCTATAACGAACTTGAGCGGGATGCGGCACCCGTTCTCTGTATCCCGAAGTTCGTAGTAAATCAAAAACAGCTTTTAAAAAAAAGTTGCGAGTGAAAACACAAACTTTTTATGCGCCAAAAAGCCCGTGATGCACGTGTTTCGAATAGCAGAAGCGATAAGGGTGATCTCGAGTGAATTTAAAACGGCAGGGTGCTTAATTCGCCAGGGCCCGTGGCAAAAGCTGCATAAGGCACTGATTCCAAAGTTTCATCGTTCTCGCAATTCGATTCCTCCAAATCGCTCTCGCCACGTACTTCATTCGCAATGCCCTAATCCGTGCACGGTTTCGCAGTGTCGGCATCATCATCGGCCGTAATTAAACCATCGCAACAGATGTCCCACCCACTCTCCCAGGTCAGAGTCGACGACGCGCTGTTACAAATCGCCGCCGCAGTGGTTCTGTTCAAAAGCTTCAGGCTCGGCATCGGGCCCGACGTCGACGAAGTCGGCCTCGCGAAAACAGTTTCGCGAGGCCGCCCACGAAATATTCACCATCTCCACAGCTAAATACCGGGATGCCCGAAGCGGCAGGTTGGCTTCCAGGTGGTCAACAGCTATGAGCAAGCGCTCCGCAAGGTGGTTATGCTCAAGCCAAGCGGACACACTTTCGACATTTTGTTGAGCGGCAGGTAAAAAAAAAGTGTGCTAGTCCTCCCGTCGGCCATCATTACTACACACGCACACCAAGAGCGAACAAGACGCGCACACGCGACACACATGCCAGAACTCGTGGAACAGCTCTGGGCCCATTTCCAGTCAGAAAACGAAACGAATTCGAGCCAGCGTGGCAGGCGTCGCCGAGCGGTGCAGACGGGCAAAGGGGTTGTGATCAAGAGAGGAGAGCAGACTTGCGAGAGAAGGGCAAGGAGTTGCGATAAAGAGAGGGGAGGATGCGGCGGGAGGGCGACCTTGAAAACCAAAACACACAGGAAGGAAGCAGGTTGGGTAGCTTGCTAGAAAGGTCCGCGAAACTCACACTTAGAAAAACTTGGAAAGAGTGCATGTCCGCCTGAATCGGTGCGCGCCGCAGTGTTCAAAGAATCGGCGGCCGTGGTCAAAAAATCGTTTCGTTGCGCTGGCGGGTTTGCGGGGCCTCACGAACTTCAATATTTCGCGATTTGTTCTGGGCGAATCAACAGCCGTTTTCGCGCTTCCACACGCGCGCACAAGGCATGCTGAGTCGAGTGCGAAGTGAGCGAGAACAAGTCCGAAACATGAAACGAATCGCAAATTATCAGAGTCAGTGGGGTACCGTACGTGCGTGCACTAGACGGACACTATCGGATACAGACAGTGGCTGATGATGTTGGCAAATGGTCTGATCACTCCAGGCCGGCGACGTCAACGACAGTACCAGCGATCAAAAACGGGGTCGATGGCAGTGTGAAAACACGGGCCTCGTCTGGCAATTCGGAATGCTCAGAGTAGCGGGGGGACAAAGGACGGAGGGGTGCGTAACAAAAGCGGTTGGGGAGAGCGGCAACTAAAGGGGCGTGGAGGCAGGGTCGGCGTTTAACAATAAGAATGCATTGGCACCTCACCCATGCCTGATGGGTGGTCGAAATTGGTTTCCCGGGAAGTCGGCAGACTGCTGACTCCGTTTGCTGTAACCCATCAGCGGTGCTCGGAGACGTTCGTTGTAAGTGCGATTTTGTGCCATTGAACAAATGTATATTTTCAGGGTCACAGGGATATGGTTCGTTTTAAGTGAAAGTTCATTTTAAGTGGGGCCGGTATATGTAGGCTCGACTGTATAGTAATGAGTAAAGATCGATAAAACAACTGTTAATGGGCATAGTAACCCAAGGCAATTCTGAATGTGCAGCAGTGCTACACAACTCTTTACACGTAACCAGAAATGCTTGCGCAATCAAATCATCGCTTGAAAGTATAAATCACCTGCAGTGGACGACGATGGGCTTGGTGTCAGGAATGACCCTTTCCCTAAATGCTCGGACAAATTTCACCAGCGTTTGTGGCGGGTCGGGCACCCCAAAGTCTGGCCACGTTGTGAAGTGAAAGTGTCTGACTATTCGGGATTGGTCTCCCTGCAAACAAAACAGGAAATGCTCAGTGATCTTTCAATCATAAAACCATGGAGTACAGGAGCTTAAAACAGGATGAACACTGAAGTGTATGTTCCAACACGTCAGTGGCCAACTCTCATGTTTAGAACGACGGAGTGTCGTGCTCAGAACTGCACGAGCGACATCTGCAGTCGTATATGTGCCAAATCTGAGCATGCGTGGTGCTAATAAGTCGACACGCTTGCTTTGCATCTTTTCATTCGTGTTTATCACAGCGGATTCAACTACTGCTTTTGCCGTCGAAAACATTCTGAATGGTATCAGGCAAAAAGAAAAAAAAAAGAGGCTAGGAAATGAACGGCACGATTCTCAAGATGATACGATACAAAGAAACGACATTGTGTTCACGAGGCTGCTTTACAAGTTTGTACCGGTAATAGTAGAGCTATTACTCTAAAAATAGAACTTGTCAGTGTGCCCGTAATATGCCCACTGAACTGTTACAGCCTAACTTCGTGGCAGTGCGTGTTTTCCCTGAATAGGCATTTCTATGACAAAGTGGCTACAAGTTATAGAGGGAAAGTGCCTTTCCAGGTAATTTACATGCAGTAAACTATGCTAAATCATCCATTTCGAATACCTAGAAATTTAAGGAATACTGTATTGACGAATATGCGCTGTGCTTGAAGGTTCACACAGGCTTAGAAGTATTTTGGCGAATATATATATGGATTTTAGAAGAGTAGATGTCTGGGCCAGTCGCTGACGCATACTTTATGAAATGAAGCACAATAAATGGGACAACGAAAGAAGAGACACACACGACGAAGCGCTACCCGCAACGCTGAGCACTGAATGACACCAGGCGAAGAGCTCCCAGTCACACTGACAGTGTGGCTGGTAGGGCTTTGTCCGGTGTGTCTTTTATTTTGCTGCCTTGTATATTGCACTTCGTTCAGTGTTCAGCGTGGCCGGTAGCACTTGTCCTGTATATCTCTTCTTTTGTTGTCCGGTTCATTGCGCTTCATTTCATCAAGTGTATATATAGATTGATAGTCATCATACAAGTTGACGCGCTGCTTACCCGAGAAACCTTGAATTCCGAGATGGTCCAGTCGGGGTACTGCGACTCATTGAGTATGGTGACCTGTATGTCGCCATAGTAGACGGGCTGCGTGTCGAAAGGCCAGTAGTGGTCGCACTTTTCGCGCCCTTTCTCGATGCACCGCGTCAGCATGACGATGGCACGGCAGTTCTGCTCCCACACCATGCGCCACATGTCGTCGCGCGTGCTGTGCAGTGGGCCCTGGGTCACGATGAACTCGCGGGGAGAGTTGAAGCCCTGCACGATGACGTCGCAGGGGGAAAAAGCATTAGCAATGTTACACTGAGCAGTAGAGAGAAGTCCACACAGGGGAGAGAAGAAACGGTAGAGAAGAAAGGGCAGGGAAGTTAACCAGTCTAGAAAAGCTAGTTTGCTTCCCTACGCATGGAAATGGAAAGATAAAAAGAGGGAGAAGAATTAGTCAGAAGAGAGACGAATACTGCCAACATGCAGTCAGTAAAAGTGCACACAAGAAAAGGTGGAAAAGCTATAGGGCGGAGATCTTCGAAATTTTTATTTGCATACAGCCATCATCATTTCTAATCTGCTTCTGGGCAGAGCTTGCCGAATAAAATGGTTTGGAAGTGCCGTTTGACCATTCTATTCCCGCACTTCTTCCTCCAAGTAAATGACGCACATTTGTCCCATAAGAATTCGGAAGCGCAACAGCTGATAATAGTGGTCACGCAATCTCTAGGTCACAATTACAAAGGGACATATCTATTGGCGAAAAGTAGTATAACAGCCATTGAAAGTAAGTGAAAGATTGGCAAGGCCGCGGGGCAGAGATGATTGTTGTTATACACATCAATTTGTCCATGAACGCATAGCACCAACATCTAGCTGTATACAGGATCGCTGTAATGAAAGTAGTGAAAAAAAAAATGCTCACTGGAATGTAATTGGCGTTGATGTAGTCCGATCCATCCTCGTCATCGGTGGGGAGCAGCTTGACGCGGGAGTGGTCGTACGGTAGTATGTTGGTGAACCGGTTCTTGGGGCGGTTCACGGGCAAGTCGGCGGCACCACATGGCTTGTCCCGGCCGACGTGCTTAAGCAGCTCGAACTCCTCTGAGAAGCGGAAGTCTGAGTCGGCCGACATGATGCGGTAATGCTCGAGGAAGTCCTTGAGCTTCACGGGACGACTGGTCACCTGTGTCAAGAATATGTATAGGCATTGTTACTTCATTGTAGGCATTGTGGGCTTAACATATCATAATGACTCACGTATACCCATTCATTTTTACTGGTTATACACATTAAAACTAGTGTTGAACGCAGGGCATTTTAAAGGTGCTACTGGTTTTGGCAGCAATCACCACAAGTTAAACTGAAGCTCCACTTTACACTTATCCATTTTCCTGCCTTTTACAAAGATCCTGCACTTACCATTTCACTCTCAGCTATAGACACAATGTCGTGGTCCTTGGAATGCGGGTCTCCTCTGGAGTGGGGTGCGAAAGGTCCTAGTCGTCGTCGCCTCAGGACAACCAATAGGATGGCAAGTATAACCAACAGTGAGAGGGGAACGAGGATGCCAACAATCAGCGGTGTGTTGTCTGGATCTAGAAAAAAGAACAAAACAAACAAGAGAGAAGTTAACACTTTGTTGTGACTGTAGTGTGGCCCCCAAACATGAATCATGCCCACAGCATGGGCTTAAAAATGATACCTCCTTCTCACCCATGCGAAATAAATATATTCGTGCATTAGACTTTCGAAATTACCTACATATTTACTTCCTTTTTTCTTCATTCATTCATATTCTTTCATAAATAACCTCATAATGAATTGAAAATGCGCATATTTGTTGGAGGGGCAGGCATTTACAAAGAATCTGCACTTTGACCTTGTAAATTACAGTTTCCAAAGAAACACTGGGATTATTGTGCCGCCATTTACACAGCCAGTGCTGTTTTTATAACTCACTTAAATGTAAGAGTGAAATAATTTATCCGCAAAACAATCACAACACAATAAGTCAGTGTATCACATAGTCAACAATCGGTAGTGTATTTATCTAGTTTCTAGAAAGGTTTAAAACCAGGGACATCTGCATTCAAATGTTTTTCAGGGCTGACTGCTCACCTGAAAAAAAAGGACAGGTCATTTCTAATATTCTCAGCATTCACATAGTTTTGAAGCTCTGACATTCCACACATACTGGTGGCTTGTATGTTGCCACTAGTGAATCTCACCTGTCTGGATTGGGTACGAGTAGACGGTGTCCGTGAATTTGTCTGGCGCCGTGTAAGCGCGAACTTTAACCCTGTAGGTGGAGCCAGGTTTCAGGGGCCCATTGCAGTAACCCTTGTCTCCCTTGCAGTCTTCGGAGCCGATCACAAAATCCTCGGTGAGGGTGCCATTGAACGGGTAATACGGCTCTGTCACCTGCATACCGGATCATCACCCATATTAGCCTCTCCCATAGTGGACTTCCAGGAAATGTACTTAAGATGCAACCAGTAGAACAGCCACTCGTACAATTTGTACCGGTCTGCAGTGTTTGTATTGCAGCAATAGAGACCATGGTGGTGGTGAATGAGAATTGCGTCTTTTCCACTCCCATCTTTTCAACTCTAGAGACCTCTTTCAGGCACACAAGTGCCACCAGCTGGCACGCAAGTGCTCATAAAGGCAGTGTGTACACCCCAGCGTCTGCCGTGCCAAGCGCGGGCGCGACATTTCAGCTTTCCGCTTGCACAGGAAACTAGCAGTTGAGAGCCTATTATACCTCTAGAGACATGAAAAGCGGGCCTTAAAACAATACAGTATATAGACGCAACAAGCGTTGCTGAGTGTGAACCCTACCCACAGCCGATGGTCATCATTTCGCCATAGCGTGGGTGGAGTATTCCTATCTGGAGTACTTCTCCAAAACGCTAGCATACAGGAATACGGCCGCACCGGGAGGGGAAACAGTTTTTAATTTGTCCTCCGCTTTAACGCGGAGTAAGCACCAAAAGCACAGCATGCACAAAGGTATGAGCAGCCTGCTTATCTCAGTCGAGGAAGCACACGTGACCCCACCGTTTGATAAGTGTTCGCAGTTATTGCCCTAACGATGCAGCCCCCTCCCCCCCAGTACTACCTCACGCTCTATTACTCGAGAAATCCTGTTGGCACTTTTCATCTTTAAGCCTCGCTCCTCCGCAGCCTTGGCCGGTTTTCACAATGCTCAAGGCGATGCTATCGCTACAGAACATGGCGGCGACGGCAAAAATAAACATTGAGTGTCCATAGGATTTGGTGTTTTAATAATATATTCCAGTAACTTTGCCATTGCACTCCCCAATTTTATTGTCTCTTATATTTGTATGATTTTTGCAGAAGAGTAGCGTCAGCTGCGGAGAATTCTGAAAAGTGAATTGTTTCAAACATTTAACAAATTGATATTAAAAGTGTTGTTTAAATATTTAGCCCTCATGTAATGTTTTGTGTCGGACCTCCGAGGTACAAAAGAGAAAAAAAGAAACAAGGAAGAAAGAATAAAGAAAGTGGTGTCATTGTAACAGCATACTTTTCGGGACACATACCTGGTACGGAGGCCAACTGTGGAAGCTCTGAACTTCAGACCACGTCGGCAGAATAGCACTGGTCGCATCCTTGGACACGTCTTCGGCGACGATGAGCGTGTAGGCGTGGATCGGACCGTGACTGTTGGCGAAGAAGTTCTTGCGAAAGCTGACCCGCATAGTCGTTGCCGTGTGGGTTAGCGACTTCGGGAAGACTGAATCGCTCGGCTTTGGTGGGGCTGCAGTAGGCAAGGACATGGTTAGCTCCTGTGCAGATGTGGTTCTGCACATAAAAAATGTATCGCGACCACTTACCCCATATAGGCATGGTCTCCTCCCATCTCCCTTTTCCACCAGGACCGATTTTTGTGTGCGCTTGAATCTGGAATAACATTTGTAGTTTGAATTATGGATCATGGTAATGTTGGTTATAGATTGCAGATTCAGTAACCGTATTTACTCAAATGCAATGCGAGTTTTCTTTCTGCGGATCTTTGATATCTGAGGTTCATCCTCATGTTACATTCGAATATTTTTCTTGTTTCTCATGACGAAGCAAAGTCGCCCCTCACATTACGATCGAGTAAACTCTGTAGTCAATCCAATTTGAAAGACAGAGCCGGACAAGGCGAATTCCTACGAGTGTTGACAAAAATCAGGGGGCTGCTTAAATACAGCTTGTTACGTACGCAACAAACAAGCATTCTGTTGAAGAGTTTCACGCACGATTTAAAAACACACACCGGTATACAATTTTCCAAGTCGATTCACTTAAAGAAGAAAAGATATGGAGTTTTTTTTACATTCATACATATTCCCTAAAATGTGTATGCTAAATTTTAAAGCTGACTTGATGTGTATCAAGTAGCATCACAGCATTTGCATAAGCTAGTTTCCTGTTTCACTTCCTTGGTAAATCTAAAAAGCTCGAGTGGCGTGCTTCACATGAAAGCATTGTTTTGCTATTTAGAAACTTCTTCACAGTTTTTTTAGCCTTCACATGTTCGAGTTCATCTGTCGCAGTATATTATCTTTACCTCGAAGACGTAGGTTCGTCCAGGAATGAGGTTAGAGATGACTCCTTTAGTTTCCGTCGGTTCGAAGAGTTTGTGGCGATAGGTCAAAGAACCCTGAAACAACAACAACAAAAAAATCCGAGTTAAATTAAGCTGGCAGATGTACACTGATTCACTAATACCAAATCAGACTGTGCAATTATAAGAAACTTGCACAGATTTCAGAAACAATTTTAACAATTATGACCATTAACATTTCTTTTCAAATGCAGACAGCAGGGATTATGCATAATTACCGTCCACTGACAGCAGTTTTAGAATGGCAGAGTAGTTACTGCTTCCACTTACATGCCATTCTCCTCGCAACTATTTAATGAAGCGTATGGAATAATTCTATTTGGCACTATAAATGAACTACTTGTACACTCCTGTTAAGATGAACTGTGAAGTTCTAAATAAAGCCAGGAAACGAGAACTTTCGGTCAAATCTTCCAGCTGTAAGTAGAAATTTAAGTAGGAATCTAATAAAAGTGTAATCATTCACCAAGAAATTGCATTGTAAGCTTCTATACGTGCAAAACGTAACTGCCCAGTACCGAATGGTTTCGGCCAGTGTAACATATACCGTATTTACTCGATTCTACCGCGCCCTCGATTGTAACGCGCACTCGGTTTTCACGATGAAAAAAAAAAGTAAGACATCGATTGCAACGCGCACCCATTTTTCTCGTTGGCCCGCACAATCACACTACTCGGGAAAACGACTCTTTTCGGGAGCGTCTTTCGTTTAAATATGAGGTACGGGGGAAGCTTGTGCCTATCTGACATGCAACGGAGCATTGCCGTCACTATTGTTTTACCGTGGCCTGATGTCAGCATGCAAACTTGCTTCCCCCCCTTCTTCTCGACGGTTGTGGTGCCAGGCATGTCAAAGTAAAGAGGCGTCTGATCGGCATTCCCGATTTGCCCAAGCAGGTAGCCATTGTGCCACAAGTTTAGGACGAACCTCTGAAAACTGTGAAGCTTTTCTTCGTACTCCTCCGGCAAGTTTTGGCGCATGCCCGTTCGCTTTCAGAGAGAAAAGCCTTTCCTCTTCATAAAGTTAGTTAGCCAGCACCTGCTCGCTTTGAACTGGCTCCGCGTTAGCCCTTTTTCTAAAGCTAACTGCATAGCCCGCACTTAGAGCAGTTCTGTCGTCACGGGCCACTGTGCCGCTCGCTGCTCAAGCACATACTCGGCGAGCAGCTCTTCAATTTGAAGAAACCGACCCTGCTGTGGTCTACTGAAGCCTTTGCATGAATCTTTGACAATCTTCTTCTTTTGTTTCTGCCAGTCCCACACGCACGTTTCGGGAATTCCGAACGACCGTTATGCGGCCTGATTTCTGTCTGTTCCGGCACATGCAATGACTTTTCTTTTAAAAGCCGCATCGTGGCGCACTCGTCGAGTTTCTGGAGTCGTCCCTTCCATACCGTCGATGCTAATGAACTACAAGATGGCGAACTTCTCAGCACACGTACGAAGTGCCGCACATCGAAAACACATAGGCAGAAATGGCCGACGCGCCATGCCGAAGCACGTAAGGGGCGGCCATTTTGGAAATGTCGATGGCAATAGAATGACCGTATTCATTTTTTTTCGCACTCAATTTTAACGCACAAGCGATTTATGAACTCGCTTAACCGGAAAAAAGGTGCGCGTTAGATTCGAGTAATTACGGTAAACGCTACTTATAGGCGCGCATACGATCAACCGTACAGTAGTTGCACAGTCATTTACATATGTGTAATTGCTTGTATATGCAGATTATTCAACATTACGTATATGTTCATAGCCTTAATCTCTGCAACCACTTACCTTCATGTAGTAAGTGATTTTGAAGCCCGTCAGCACGCCGTTCTGCTCGCTGGATGGAAGCGACCACTGCAGCACGATTTCACTTGGTTTCAACTCGAATGGGCGGAAGTTTTGGACTTTCCCTGGCACTGTAATTCGTCGCAATAACATGAATTTAGAATCGCAAGGTCTATAGTTCCTCATCAATTGGCATTTAAATATGACAGTGAATATTTACTGCAAAAAGTAAGCGATCCTAGCTATCTTTCTTCCATTACCCCATTTTCTGCTCGCCCCAAAAAGCATTTTCGTGAAACCTACCATGTATAAAAAACGCACTCCCAAACATTGTTTCTGTTTTTTGGGGAAAAGAAAGTGCGTCCACCGCAAGAGTAAATACGGTATATAGCGGCAGAAGTATGAAAGCATATTTTCTTTATGTGGTTACATTGAAACTGACTGGAACGAATGACCTGACCATGGTTGATTAAGTGCTGATTTAGTAATGCATGACAAATGCCTGATTTAGTTAGTTAGTTTAGATTACCTTATATACACTGATTGCCAACCGGAGTCAGCACTAGCCAACGTTAGCCACAACACATTTGTATTATGCAAGTGAATATGGTCGTCTTGCAAAGCATTACTCAAAGTCGCGCACTTTTTTTCTCACTTCAATGAGCTAGCATTGGAAACAGTAGCATACTGAACTCTACAGTCCCGGATTCACCAATGCTGCCAAACTGCAGCCAAAATGGCAATATGACAGTGAGAGGCTTCACAGAGCAGGCTTCACACACTTTTCCTCACTGCTTATTTTCATTAAAAACAGTATAACATAGTGGTATAATGACAGTAAAAGCGGTATAACATGGTGAGGAACAATTTCATTTCAGACAGTGCTGTTATCACCACCTTTGGATGTGGCAGGCTCCAGATCAAGGCCGTCCAAGTTCTGGACCAAAACTTAACAGGGCCTAAGGGTTAGACTGGAGGGAGTTAAAACCGAGACGTTCCTCAACCCTGCTCATTTCAGGTTATATATTAGGAAGATAACTGCAAACTGCGCGGCTGCCCTCACGCATCTCTTAAACACATTCCCTGGGAATGTGTCCAAGAAATGTGTCTAACCTCACAAACAAAAAATGTAGTCTTCCCACATGAAGCTGCAGCGCTGTGGACAGCCACATTGCACATCTGAAGTATGCAAGATCAACTAAGGGTCATCTAGCGAGCCCGTGAGATGAGGGAGACAGTTTCTCCAGAACTCCTCGGGGCGGTCGAAGCCCAGGCCATTAGTTTGCCGAACTTGTCAATAAACTTCTTACCACCGCAGCACGAACACTTATACTTATTTTTGCCAATCCTGTGTACGTGTGGTATTGAAGAAACAACAAACCCTGATATAACGATAAATTAAAGTGTATTATTTGCAAACCAATTATAATACTACACTTTAGTGAAGGCAGTACCCTGTTTAACAAGACGCTGGACGTAGGGCTTCTCGACAGGTATTCTGAAATGTTAAAAAAATATATTTTTGCGGCAATGCTTGCCCTCTGGAGATAAATATTCAATGTTATTAGAGTGGGTAACTGAATTCATTTTATGAAGATTGATGACATAAGTAATGGCAAAGTAATATGTAATTAAATACCTTGTAATCTTGAATCACTACAATGAAATACTCTATAGCTTATTTACACTAACTTTATATCGAGTCTAGTAAACCTTGGCATCAAGATTGTACACATTTCAAGCCTTTGTGGACAGTCGATCCCAATACATTTTGCAAGCAGTTAAACAGAGGCACAAACCGGACTCTAGGGTCTGGAAGGTGCGTGACACGGGCAGACTGCGGCGCACTGTAGACGTGTCGTATCCGCTCATTACGGCAACCACAAACGTGTAGTTGTGATGCGGCCGCAGATGCTCGTACGAGATGCGCTCGGCCAGCGTGAAGTTCTGTACGAGCACGCCACGGTGGTCGAGGTACTGGACCTCGTAGCCGTCGCGGTCCCCCGTAGCGCTTTCCCAGACCAGCGAGATGGCCGTGTCCGTCACTGTCAGCGCCTTGATCTCCTTCACCGGGTCCGGGACTGCATGCATGTAACCAGAACAGTGCATACTCTGAAAATATAGCATACACTAATGCTGTCTTTGAATTTTGCACAGCTGAGGCACTTTCGAAGGATCGCTAATAATGACAATAACTTATAGGGCTTAATGTCCTAAAACCACCATGTCATCATAAAAAACAAATTGAAGTACTTTATTGAGATTGCTAATTCTAGGGACTGTTCAAAATTCGCCATGGTGGTCTAGTGAATATAGTGCTTGACTGCGGCGCAGGTTGCGGAATCGAATTCCGGGCTCCAGAAATTTCAACCACCTAAGGTTCATTATCATGCACCCAAAATAAAGTACTGCACGGGCCTCAAGTATTTTCGCCTCCATCGAAAATGAAGCCGCTGTGGCCGAGAGAGTGGGTATGTGCCACAGAGGATAGACATTTAGGGGTGAAACTTTTTAAGCCGTCTGTCGTGCGTCCTCGATGTATGTAGTTGGTAGCCACCTCTCGTGTAGTTCTTGGAATGTCCGCTAGATGGTGGTAATTGAATATAATCAATGTATGATGAAAAGAACGAGATGGTGCTACTTGGAGTGTTCACTAGACAGACGGACGTACAGATAGACAGACGCACAAACAGATCGACCCACGGTTGGATGAACGGACGCTTCGCTCCACTGATCATCATTCAGTCTGTGGATATGCTGTAATTTTTTTGTTGTACACAGCTTACACAGCATGAACGGTGTTCTATGAAGCAGCCAGGGAGTTCTTTATGCGTTAGACACTGTTTACACCGTGTTCCTGGTGTTTGATTGCGTGTGAACGAGTGAGTTCTTTGTCAGGCACTGTTTATGCCACATTGTGATTTATGAAGTCTGAGCGAGGGAGTGCTTTACCGGTCGGACACCATTTACACCACATACATGGTGTTTTATGACGTGTGAGCAAGGAACTTGTTTATTCGTCGGACACCATTTATGGCGTATGCATCGTGTTTTGTGACGTATAAGCAAAGGAGTTCTTTATCTGCTGGACACTGTTTATGCCACGTGCTAGATGTTTTATGACGTATGAGTAAAACAGTCCTTTACCTGATCGGCCTTGTTTACACCACTTCATTTTTCATATATACCTCAAGTATCCAGGTCGGTATAAAATGGCAGAAATGGCAAATTTTATAGCCTTCAAGCAAATAATTCCCTTTTCATTGAAGATTACCTTTCTGTCTCAAAATAAAATAGATCGACTTAATGCAGGGGCCCTGCAACACTTTTTCAGCATCGGTAATACAGGCTCGTGAGAACCTGCGAGCCAAACATTACAGCGTACCATGTGGCCTGGAATTTACAAATAATTCTCAAAGTAGCAAGGAATTGTCTCTTCTCTCTACAAATGATGCTTTATATCCCAATGATGGCGACGCATACCCAGATCTATGGCCATTGGCATCTTGCAACATTGTAAGCTTCATGGTTATGGCGGCGGACGCAAGGTGCCACCCCGTGTCCCTGCACCTGCTCGCGATCACACTGAAATTAAGGCGCGCATTCAAAAAAAAATTTAAGAAGCACTCAAGATGCTGACGTGCTCTGACAAAGGGATGCATTTCTCGCCCCATCATCATCTGTTTCACCGCATACTTTTGAGTGCACGGCAAACATTTGTAACTTCGCTCTTACTTGACAGGTTCTAAAACTTTTTACAGGAGTTAATCTATGAAGCAATAGGCATTTTTATTGTAGCCCTTCTATCAACACTTGAGAAAGTTGCAGGGCGCCTCTAAACAAAGCTGGCGAACAATTCAAAACTCTAAGTATCTTTGCTTACACATGAACCAGATCTTGCACATATACAGTAAACCCTCGTTAACTCTAACTCGCATATCTCGAAATCTCGGTCAAGTCGAAACTTTTTTTCGCCGTGCATTAACCTCCCATAGGTGCTATGTATTTGCCCCCTCTTATCTCGAAACGTTTTCCGGAGGGAACAGTGGATATCTCGAAATCTTGACAGGGAGGGCAGAAGGCAAAGTCTACTCCCAACAGGAAACGAGGGCTCCGTGCGAACGCTTAGCTCTTACTATACGTGCCGAACGCAGTCGTGAAGGGCGAATTTGAAATTCCCGCGGACGCAGCCGTTTCCTATCAGCCTTGTCAGGCAACTGTGGGAGTGATCACGTGTGCGCACCTGCGCGCGACTTATGCGCGGTGGGCGGCATGTGCAGCATGCGCCCGTCAGTACGCAACCTAGCCCTTGCATGTGCGAGCTGGTATTCTTTGTTTTCCTCGCGATCTGTGCACGACGCATCTTGAGCTCAGTTTTGCTGAGTAGTGAGTGGTCTGTGCAACGGACGCTTCCGAATATCGACCAAGATGTCCCGCCCAAAGCAGTGCAAATCTCTGACGTTGGAGAGAAAAGTCGCGCTAATCAAGGAAGTGGAAAAAGCAAGTCGAAGCAAGTCGTGCATCGCCAAAGAATTCGGCATCCCTTTGTCAACCCTCTCGACAGTGCTTAAGAACAAACAAAAGGTTTTGGAAGGCTTCGAGCAAAGCTTCTCAAGCAAGCGGAAGCGCATTCGAGCGTCCGAATTCCCGGACGTCGAAGCAGCACTTCTGTTGTGGCTCCAAAACGTTCGAGCAGCCAATCTTCCCGTGACAACCCAAATGATGATGGAGAAAGCAGACGCTTTGGCACAGCAGATGGGTGATGCGGATTTCAGTTGCAGCAATGGCTGGTTCGAGCGGTTTAAGACGAGAAATAACGTGTCATCGAAGCCTATCCACGGCGAAAGCGGCATTGTTGATGAACAGGCAGCAGACGCATGGCGCAAGCTACGCCTAGCTGAGCTGCAGAAGGAGTACGCGGACAAGGACATCTTTAACCTAGACGAAGCCGCTCTCTTTTACAAGATGCTGCCTAACCGCACATACACACCAAAAGGCGAAGCGTGCTCAGGCGCTAAGCAACGAAAAGACAGGATAACAATTCTTTTTGGTGCCAACGCTACCGGCGATGAAAAGCTGCCCCTCCTCATCATTGGCAAGTCGCTGAATCCCAGGTGTTTCCGAAATGCACGGCTTCCGAGGGATGTGACCTACCGCGCAAATAAAACAGCCTGGATAACGGCGGCGCTTTTCGAAGAGCATGTCCGTGCGCTTGATCAGAAGATGGCAAAGGATGGTCGGAAAGTGTTGTTTGTTGTGGATAACTGCCCCGGCCATGGAAAAATCGACAACTTGGCGGCTGTTACGCTGGAGTTCCTGCCGGCGAACATGACGTCCGTTCTCCAGCCAATAGATCAGGAAGTCATTAAGATGGCCCGCAAGTATTATAGGAAAAGCCTGCTGCACCGAATTCTGCTGTCATACGACAATGGGAAAAAGTATGAAATCGATCTGCTGGGTGCAGTCAATCTGATGGCCGAAGCCTGGCGCCAACTACGCCCGCTGGCGATTGCTAACTGCTTCGCACATGCAGGGTTTTCTCGCGCTCCGGAATCGATCGAAGAAGACATTGGCGCAGAATTCAGCGGCTGTGATGAGCTGTGCAATGAAGTGCGCAAGGCAACTGGCTGCGTGAGCGATACTGAAGACGGCGAGATCGCCTTTGAGGAGTATGCGCTCCACGAGGCCGACGTTCCCGTTACCGGAATGCTGTCGGACGCCGATATCGTTGAGATGGCCGTGAACGACGCAGATGACCATGCAGATGAGGAAGAGCCTCGAGAAGTGCCTACGACGACAGAAACACCTAACATGCTGTGCTTGCTCCGCAGCAAGGTCGAATGCAGCGGTGGCGACCAATGGCTCATGCGATGTGCTGAGCAACTGGAGAACGCCTTTCTCGGACCGAAGGCTAAAGCGAAACAGGCGAGCATCACGCAATTTTTTGGTCCTCGGTAATGAATATTTCTCCCCTCCGAATTCTTGTGCCTTTACTACGGTAGCTGTTTTGTGCAGTGGAGCTTTTCCTAGCAGCACTGGCTTTTCTTTTACAGTGACCTGGGCGAACATTTTCGGCGTTTTGCTTAACTCGAAATACCGCCTATCTCGAAATTTTTTCCGGATTTGATGGCTTCGAGTTAACGAGGGATTACTGTATTAAGAGAAGTGACCATTTCATTCTCGTATATCCTTGGTAGTATATAAAATAAACGTGGAACTATGGGAATGAATTTTTGAGCGTGAAGCCGGAGCACGGACGAAGGAAAAGGCAGACAAGCTTGCAAGCACACAAGTGCGCATCGCTTTTTTCTATGTATTCTTGCTTAGTGCCTTAGAATTCCTTTCCTGATTATGCAGGAGGTAGCCCTAAAGCATACTTAACTAAACATGAACTGCACAATGAAACTCACACAGCCTGGTGTGTCGGTAGATGGGCACGCTGTAGACTCCGCCGCTGATGGTCCAAATGCTGATGTTGTAGAGTCTTCCGGGAACTAGATTGTCGAAGAGCACCAGCCGGTTGGTGTCGTTCGACAGCTTCTCCTGTGCTGGTATACCGGTATCGCTAAGCTGGAACCGGTACCGGTCAAAAACCACGTGCCGCTGAGGAGTTGGTGTGTACTTGATGCCCAACGTTCGAGTCTCATGTTCGTCAGCGACAATGTTGATGACAGAGTCGATGACAGGCACTACATTAAAGAAAAAAATGGGTTTCAAGGATGTGATAATTGTCATGAGCATTGCGCTCTAATAAACTTCTGATCAGTCTCTAACACTGAAGAGGAAGGTGTGTGTGCATACATTTTGTCAGACTAAAGAAAGCTTCTGATGTTTTCAAATACAACGAAGGCACTCGAAATTCAGGTGTGCTTCTTAAATGTTGGAAAAGCTTCAAGGAATGCTTATTCGAAATATCTGACAAAACACAGGAACAAAAGTGTTGAAAAACTTTGGACTGATTGCCAAGGCTTTGCTTTCCTGTATTGCTAGTTGGTAACATTGGTGGTAAAAACCAAAAGCCACCCAGATCATCTACTTGTAAACGGTGAAATGGTTACAACCTTAGCATAAAAACAAGCTACGCCCCAGGAACTGTGCCGACCATGTTATTCACCCATGCGAGAGAGCTGTACTAGGAGGTTTCCCTAGTGAGCACATACTTCATAGCTGGTAATGTCCGTAAAGTTAATATTCATAATTAAAAGTTATTCATTCATTCTTAAAATGTTACGCTTCCCAAGCCGTACGGTTGTTTTTTTTTAACTGACCACGAAATTATTTTTTGACCGAAAATTAGGGACACCAAGCTGTTTCTATTGCAAAGTTCACTACGGGTAGTATGGAAAGGTGACTGATGTCACAGAAATGATGAAATGCGATTTGATGAGGAATTTACGCAAATTTTCTCCGGGTGTGACAGCGACGACTGTGGCGGAGTAAGACCCTTATCCAACCAGACGAAACGCAGATATCAATCTTAGAGCAAGTAGATTAGCTCTTGGAGAGTACAATTTCGGAGAAATTAATAGACACTTTACTGTCTCCCGTTCAGAAGAGGCACACATTTATGAAATGACAAAGCTTTAAAAGAAAACAAAAGTTCTCACTAGTTCTCGTCTGGACGCCGAAACCTTCACTTCTTACGTCGTGGCTGACGGCGTAAAGGCGGAATGAGTACAACTCTCCAGGCTTCAGATTTTCGATGACGACGTTTACGTTGTCTCCTGGACGTGTTGAGTTAGCTGGAACCTGAAACCGGTGTTACAGACGCTAGCAGTTATTCGTGGTGTCTGGGAAAGCTTGATGAAATATCAACAAGAAAATGTTGTAGTGTAATTCCAATAAAGTTGGCAAACCTGGAAATTATTTATAATTCAGCAAGACACCTTTTCACTGCGGAACTTTTTGCTTCATAAAGTTTCAAAGCACTTAAATTGACTCAGAAATGTGTTAGGATGTTAACAGATTGCTTGAATAAGGCTTATCCATACAGCCAAAGTACTGTTTATAGTCTGAGAGCCATTTTCCATGAAAGTGTTTCCTTAGCCAAAACCTTAAACCCATAGCCATGAAAGGTTATCAAAACAAGTCTACAAGTTTAGCTCAGCTAGTTAGCACTGATTAAATTAATTCATAATAAGACAAAATACACACTGCACACTACAGAGTGTATAGTGTCAGTAGCTAGTATTACGAGTTTATTAACATAACCAATCAGTGTAAACTTTACAGCCATCACGAGCTTAAACAGAACACTTACCTGCTGCGATTTCTGCTTCTTCTGGTCATTGAGGGGGTTATAAACGATGATATAGTAGTCTACACGTCCTGGAGGCGCTGTCCACTCAAAGGTGATGTTTTGGGAGTCGAGGAAGTGCGTTACATGTTTGATGGAGTTGGGATCTGGAATAAATTTTTGTTAAGATATCTGAGAAGTGCCACAACACATCAGTGCAAAAGGCCTACAGCCTAAGATGGACATAGAAGTGTGAGGAAAATCCCCGCACACAAGCATCATGGAACAGTGCGCATGTGCAGATGTCTAAATAAAAACATCATATCACTGTTTGTGGAATAATTGCTTGCTTTTATTAAATCAATAGTTCCTAGTTAAAGTCTTTGTTACACTATCTTTCTGCCATTGTACCATAAGTGGACCAACTCTTCACTCACACACTGTAGACTACTCAGAGCTCTCAGTCATTATACTTTTCTAAATATACACCAAGTTGGGTGGTATACACTTATACCTCATTACAACGAACCTGGTTATAGCGAAATATCGGTTATAGCAAAGTAAATCAAAATAGTTCGTGCAATAGCTATAGTGTTAAAAACAAATCTTTGAAACGAATTTTCCGATATATTGAACTTATTTTTGTGCAAGGTGCAACTTTCTTATGATGAGGTTTGAGTGTGTACATTTTATACTAGAAAGCAATATATATCTAGGCACTTGAAACCAACAAGATTAAATGTAAATAGTTAAACTCGTGTAAACACTTTATTATATATATATATATATATATATATATATATATATATATATAGTTATAAACTTCGAGAATAGTGCAGTATAGGAAACAAAATATTTATTTAATCCTAACAGTTTCGGCTGGTGGACCAGCCTTCTTCGGAGGATGTAAACGAAATGATACAAGTTCCCGTAGCAGAGGGTCACCCTCACAGTTTAAAGACCCTCCAAAAAAAAAAGGAGACAAACGGGCGAACGAGGTAGCAACAGACAACAAGAAGCAGAAGAAGGAGAGGAACCAGAAAGGAGCGACGGAGAGCCGCCGAAAACGAGCGGGTAATTCTGGCATTGTTACTGGGTATAGGTAAGACGCGCCGCCAGCGGAGGCGACCAAGAAAAACGGAAAAATGTGGAACATGTTGCCGCTTACTCGCATCCTGCACTATTCTCGAAGTTTATAACTTTTTTTACGGTAGCCGGAAGAAACTCTGATCATCTATTTCATCTATATATATATATATATATATATATATATATATATATACACACACACACACACACACGCACACACTGATCAAGAAGATGGAATTAGCATTGCATAACGTTTTCTTTGTGGAAATCGTATTACATGCACAAAACCACACTTGATTGCTGGCAATCTTTTTATCTGAATTGTAGCATTGCTGATTACGTTAAATTCTTCCAATTTCGGTAACCAAAATGTATATACAGTGAAGCACACTTACACAGTGTTTGCTCCACGTCTTGAGCGTCGGTGCTTTCCACCTTGTTACTGACCGTTGCCACACGGACTACATATCGTTCCCCAGCAATGAGGTCGTCAATTTCAGCTGAAGTTGAGTTGACGACTCCTGGAGGAAATCAGACAGAGCAAGAAACAAAAAGTAAATTATCAGCAGTCTTGTTTGTTCCATGTTATTTTCAACTAACAATACGTTTGCCGATTGCTTATTACGGGTATCATTAATTTATATGTATTTTTTTTGCGGCAGAGCTTATCAATATGTATAGTAGCCGAGGTAATACAGACCTCAAGCTCTCCTCAGGGAAGCAGTTAGAACAGAGCAGAATAGAACAGCAATAACAATGTCTCATTGCCTAAAATTACCTCTGATAACAGTAGGACAGCCTTATCACAAACTGTGGAATAGACAGCCATATCTATATAGGTTCTTCATCTTTAGAGTATTAACTCAAAATTAGACTCAGGCTTCATTACACAGATAAAATAATTACACAGTCCTAGTCTTTTGAATTTTGGACATTGGTTGTCTTGCTATGTCAGAATTTCAACAATCAGCTGTGTAGTAGTTTTCGTGGCTGAATTTCAAATTTATGTATGTTTTTGTCTTGCTTTTGCTAAGATCTGAAGGTTTAGTCTTATAGTTCATAATCTAGTGACCCTTGTGTGTACATTAAGTGAAATATACAGTTTATTGACAGAATAATAAACAAGAACAATTGGGGGAAAAAATTCAAACTTTTTCTTGAGACTTCATTTACTTTGAGGTAAGCTGGCTTAGTGTGGTTGTTTTCTCTAAAGCTCGTTTTGACCACCCCCCGTATAACAATCATACACTGTAGACAACAAAACTCATGCATTCTTTGCAATGAAAATCTATCATAAAATATCTAACTATATCATAGCAAACAATGAAGTTAACCGGCAAACTTACAAAAATGCATACTTCACTTGTCACATGTGTTGCTGAAGTGCTTTACTTACCGAATTCCCTCCAGTACGTAGATTCAATAGGTCGGTACCGGACAGCATAATGATCGACCAAGGAGTTCGCTGGAGCATTCCATGTGAGTATTACAGTTGAGTTGCTAGCCTTTGCTATTTGCAGGTTTTGTGGAGGCCTAGGGGCTGCAAATGTCCAAGCAGTAGGAATAATTAGACAATGCAACATTTGTATTAGTTCCTAACAAGTAATATTTTACACTGGTTAAACATACTCTTAAATTAAAAAGTTAATTATCTCCTAGTCTATTAGGTGAGATATATTTTTTATCACAGAAACATTTTGGAAAAAGAACCACTAAGTTATACAAATAAGCACTTATGTGTGCCCTGTTTTTGTAAGTTATATTTAAAAGGTCTTTGCCCTAAACACTCCAACAGTAAGTAGATTTGATGGCTGGTGGAATCACTTCGACAATAAAAAACAAATATGTCAACATGAGCAGTGGTGGCAAATTCCCCCGTGCATGTTCATTCATCGCTTACGAGGTCTGTCCGTTTCTGACTCATGGAACGACACCTTTCGCTCTGGTCATGCACGCTCTGGACGAGTTTCAGCGCTCATAATCATACTTTGGAAAACTGAAAACGGAAAAACTTCTTGTGATTGAATAAGCACAACAAAAATCCCAAAAAGAGTAAAGCGTGAGGACGCTTGCATAAAAGGACTCGCATCTAGCACGAACGAAGCTTGCATTCATCATGAAGGTGGCGCACGAAGGGCATGAAACGAACTGCAAGCTTGATAATATCTAGGGTTTAACGTCCCAAACCAAGATACGGTTGTGAGAGAAGCCGTATTGGAGGGCTCCAGAAATTTAGGCCATCAGGCGTTTTTAACGTGCACTGACATCGCACAGTACACGGGCCATTACTATCGCCTCTATCGAAATGTTACTGCCGCAGCTGAGATCGAACCCGCAACCTACGGGTCGGCGGCCTAGTACTCTAACCGTTACAACGACGTGCTGGACAGAATTACAAACTTGAAGATTAGAATAATTTACTTTATGAAGTAATCAACAGCGTAAGTAAGTTATGACTGAAAGCCCTGGTGAAGCCGCCACAATTTTAGCGCACTTTTACAGTAGCGCACAGAAACTACACGTCTAAGAAATATTGTCTCTAGGATTTAGCTAATAAAATAAAGTGTGAAGTTGAAGGCTCGTTTCCTTTGTTAGGCATAATATTATTGAGAAGTAAGAGACTATAACGCCAGGGGAAGTAAATGGGATGGCATTAGATGTCATTGTAATGCAAATTTTAAAGACAGAAAAGTGGATGAAAAGATAGCTTCGCATGGGCAGGAACCAAACCTTTAGCTAAGCGATAGAGGTTGTTCCTAGGTCAATGCTAGGCTTTAGCTGGTTGACTCTAAGGTTGTTGAACGTTGATTCTCAGTACTGAGAAGTTGGACTTCAACCACAGACAGTCAAAGACATGGCACGGATGTCCAAACTCCATGGACAGAAACTCGTGCTGAAACTAAGTGCTCGCACCTTTCATAGATCTATGAGCACGTCATCATTGGTGTAGGCCTTTCAATGCATTTTCTATTCCCTGATATTCTCTTGTTATACATACTAGGCGTCTTCGCATGCCGTCGTCACATCGCGGCCATTGGTTGGGCTAACTGCTGCCTTCTTCATTTTAAGTGGACCAGGGCTTAGTATCAAGATTTAACCAATTCCTGTGGCACATACCTGTTCATGACGATGATAGGTTTTTGTCACTGATTCATCATCATCACCAGCCTCACTATGCCCATTGCAGGACAAAGGCCTCTCCCATGTTCCTTCGGTCAACTCATTCCTGTGCTTGCTGCTGCCACTGTATGGCCGCAAACTTCCTAATCTCATCTGCCCCCCTAACTTACTGCCTCCCCCTCACCCACTTGCCTTCCCTGGGAATCCAGTCAGTTACCTGTAATGGACAACGGTTATCTCGTTTTCGTACTACGTACCCTGCCTACGACCATTTCTTCTCCGTCATTTCGACTATGGCGTCCTTAACACCTATTTGCTTCTTGAATCACTCTGCTCTCCCCTTGTCCCTTAGGGTTACACTTATCATTCTCCTTTCCATTTCTCACTGCGTTGTCCTCAACTTAAGTTAAACCCTCTTTTTAATCCTCCAGGTTTCTGCTATGTAGGTAAGTACCACACTGATTACGGCTAGCTTAAGCAGCTATGCTGAAAAAAAAAGGACATGGCAAGACACTCACCGACTGTCTGGTAGTACGAGTGCGGCTCGGACCAGAGGCCGTGGCTGACGGCGTACACGCGGATCTGGTAGCTGGCACCTGGGTACAGGTTGTTCAACAGAAGCCAGTTCTGGCGCGTGTCCTCCTGGCGGCGCTCGCCGGTGTCGTTGCGCACGTAGACGACCGCGAAGGAGTCCTGGCGGCTCGTCACGTCAGACTTCCACGAAACGTTCATGTGCTGACCAACCGGCTCCAGCGCCTCGATCACCGGAGAAGCCGGACCTGCAATGATGAAATGGCGATACTGTGTCACCTCGTAAAGGCTACTGTTGAAACTCTGTCAAAGTAAGTGACTTAATATGGAAGGATACTTTATCAATTTCGAATTGTGTTTACAAAAGGACTGTGGCCTCCGTAGCCACAACAAGATTCCACCAGTCTTGCCGGCAATGAGGGGGCACGAATGGAAAGATGGTCGGACAGCACGTTTGTGTCATCACAACATTGTTGAGAGTGTGTTAGGGAAAGAAGCTACAACTGGCACCTCTTTTGGGCAGGTTGTCAGATGCCGCGAATATGAGCTACTGAAGGCATTCACCTTAATAACTGCCATGCAAAACTTCAGAGTGGTTTGCCGAACAACTCCACAACCCGTAATCTGTCATCCCAACTTACATGTTTCATCCGGACAGCACTGGCCTCATTGGCAATAAAATGGCTCATGCAAGCCTTTGAGCTTTCACAAACAGAATGCAGACTATTCTATATAGGGGATGGTTCAGACACAATGTCACTGTCCAGCATTAACCTCCTGAGTCAGATTGCATTCATATTACAAAACTTGCGGGCATTACGACTTCGGTCGCCAAACCCTCTCATCTCCAGAATCTTGTCAGTCATTACGCACACACGAAGTGCTATGGCGTAAACTACAAAAACGAACTTTTCTCTCCCCTGTCTTACATACCGAAATGACCCCAAAAATATACCTTCTTCAACATCACTAAAGTTTTAATAAATGGAAAGAAAAAACTTTATTTTAGTCCTGCAGGGTGCGCTTAGCGCATAGCGGGCGTCTCCCATGTAGGGACTAACAAGGGGCACTCGGTGGCCGCTTCGTGGGCCTGCTCGATGGCCCATTGCTGGTCGACAATTTTAATAAGTTGCCTAATATTTTTAACGTTATTATTAGCAGTAACAAGCTTATTGCACTCTGCAAGTTCCATGATGTGAGTCATTTAAGATGCACAAAACCACCTGAAATGTACAAGCGCTACAGACATTCTTTAGCCTCCTAGTTTCGCTGAAGCAATATGTCGCCAATGCCAAAAACAAAGCTTTACTGAATAAATTATTCAAGTGACGTCATTGTAGACTTACGTGTGGACTGGTATGTAAAGACTGGCTTGCTCGGTACAGCCTTGCTGACAGCGACAACGCTGATGGAATAATTGCGGCCTTGCAAAAGACCCTTCAGCAGGACTGAGTTGTTCTTCACTGTCTCCAGGCTGTCGCTGTTGAAGGACTCCAGTTCGTTGTAACGAACCTACCGAGAAAGGATGATTCATGAACCCTTATTGTTCCACCTGCATGTTTCTTGGATGTTTTACTGAACTTCGATAAGAGCAACTGTAACTTTTTATTTTATAATAACAGTAATACATACCTATAAATATGATAATGATATGTGGCATTTTACGTCTCAAAACCTTCATAGGATTATGAGACACGCTGTAGTAGAGGACTGCGGAAATTTTTGATCACCTGTTGTTCTTTTGATGTGCGTGACATTGCATAAAGCATGAGCTTTTACCGTTTCGCTTCCATCAAAATACGACAGCCACAACCTCGATCCAACCCGTGACCTTCGAGTCAGCAGGTGAGCACCCTAGCCATTGATGCACCAAGGCGGACCGATCAATATGATAAAAATTGTTCACTGTTACCTTGTTATTAACATAAACTTCTGCCTATTTCAACTTATGTGATTTTGAGACAGTGAGTGTACAGTCAACCACAAAAGTTTACGGACCAGGCGAGCGTGTCATAAACTGCCTCTCCACGCCAGCTAAGCAGTGCATTACTTGGCGTCGACCACAGCGCTGAGCCGGTAATGAGTCGGGTTATATTGGCATGAGTCAATAATATTGGCATATCAATATTATATAATATGCATTGTTAGTTCGTTTTTCTCAACCAAATCGTTTATCTGCAGTATGATCATCACACCTCTAGACTGATAGCAGAATCAAACGTATCACTGCGTACATGCCTCGAATGGTACCCAGTTGGGTAGCTATCACTTTGTGTGAAAGATTATGAAAATAACAGTCATGCTGATAGATGGCTCTAAAGAGTGAAAAGCGAAAAATAGTTGTGCCTAAAAATAAAATAGTCAGTCCATCTATTTAGGAGGAATGCCTGTTATGTTTAGCATCGATTTCGATCGCCTTGATGCAGCTGAAGTGTTGAGAAGAGGCTGGTGGCCCCGTGCTCCATGACCTTTTGTTATTGACTGTACAGTCAACAACAAGCTTAACTTGAACGCTCTTCTCAGCTTGTCCTGAAACGGTTTGATTGACGCCAGCAGCGCGTATCTTTAGATTATTTTGCTGAGATTTTACTGATGCCTGGGGACACTATCCGAGCCTACCAAGATATTATTTCAGCAATAGCGCACAGCACTTCGCCACTGGCATCAGTCGATTCAGTCCGGGCCACGATATGGAGCATTTGAGTTAAGCTTGCTGACGACTGTACATAGGCACAGAGCACTAATGGAATAATGATTAGAGCTACTTTTGACAGCAACTAGTAATTAAAAACGCTTATCTATTCTGCACGTGGTGGGAAGGTTTTCAGATGAGTACACGATTTCTTATAAAATCAAGTACCAAAAATAAAACTAAAGTGTGCGAAACTACTGCACCGCCAGAACTTACCATGTACGAGTCCTGGAGGCTTGAGTTATTAGGCTTCCATCGCACCAGAATTTCACCAGCGTCACCGTAGGTTGCATTCAAATCCTCCACAGGCAAAGGATCTGCATCATGCACGAGATTTCTCTCAAGATGTGGGAGCCGAAAGGTTCCATCGAGCCTTGACTAAAGCGTCTCATAGTCGAGGTTGCTGAAACAACTTTTTGTCAAATTTTAGTCTATTCTTCTTAGCCATTGCTTCACTGTTGGATGACAAATATCACTGCGGATATTTTTGTTTAGGAATTATAGCCTTCGTCCTTTAAGCAGCTAGTTAAATTTGACTACATATTTTCAACGAGTGCAACCCACTTGAAACCACTAGTAGCAAGTGGATAATTACTCAATGTTTATGCATGACACTAGTCTGTCAAAAGGAGCCAGAGCGGCCAATCACCAGAAGTCTCATGTAAATTTATGCCACTGTGATTTTATAAGAGAGTGAAATACACACATTCTGTGCATGCAACTGTTCTCTTGAATAGTGGACCCAATAGTAATTCATGAAAATGGTTGTATTGTTTACTTTTCTAGCAAAATAATTCCATAATGCTGATAATGACATGATCTTATGATATTGGGCAAGTAGTTAAACTTTAGCAAGCTCTTTACATAAATGTCACTGTTGTGAGTACAGGTATTGATTTACTTGTCATTCAGCTGCCTAAACTTTATTTTCAGTTGATGCAAAGAATATTGCGGCCACAACACTATTGCTGCGAGTTTAAAAATTCTCAATATGACAGCATCGTTAAAGTGCATACTGACGGCTCAAGCTTCAGACGAGCAACGCTTTCATAACAGACAACCAACTAACTGGCGGCCAAGGTGACAGCGAGATTAGACACAAGTAGCCATACTCACGAGTGGTGACGTTTCCCATGACAGGCCAGCTGGCCACGTTACCGCTGACCGTCTTGACCATGACCTCATAGGTATGGCCGGGTTCCAGATCTTGGTCGAAGTTGGCCACGCGCTCCTCGTCTCTGCCCACAATCTGCCGGAGTGAGTGCTGCATGCTCAGAGCTACCTGGTAACGGTCGAACTCGGAGAACGACTTGGGAGGGGACCAGGACACCTCGAACGACCGGGAGGTCACCTTCTCCTTATTGAAGGTCACGTTAGACGGTGGGAGGGGAACTGAGTTGGTTTAAATGAAAAGAAAGAAAAAAAATTTATTACATGAGATACATCCATTGCATGGAGGACCTAGCGCTGCTTGGTTCAGCGTACATAATTAATATTTTAATAAATGCATAGATATTAGATGTTGGTGCTAGTATATGGGGCTGGCTACTCCTCTTGAATAATAGTTGTCACAAAGTACAAAACAAACACAAAACTATACAAAGGCATGTTGTATAACACTGACGCACTCTAGCTCAGTTATTCAATACCACGAAGTGCCCACTAAACACAGAAGTTTAGAAAAAAGTCACAATTTTGCCGCAAAGTTGAAGCATTGAATGCGATAGCAACAACATGAAATGTAACTCTGAGAGCGGCAAACAGATTGAAATATGCAGCGCGCTGCTCGCACACAAATGATGCATGAAAACAACACAAAAGACAAGAGCTAACTAACGAACATTCACAGTGTCCAGCACTTAACGCACTCTTTAAACAAAAACAATGCATGAAACGTAATCACAGGTACAGATATGAGTGCAAACTAACAAGTGTTCCAGTTGTTACTTCACTGGGTTTGAAAAGCGTCCTCTTTTCTCAAATGAGGCCTGTGTAGCGAGTGAAGTGATCTTTGTGCACCCAGCAACTAAACGCAATCATTCTGGTGAAAGCCTAAAGCGTGGGAATCTCCACCACCGCAGGATAAGTGCGCGGATAAGGCCCCTCACCCTCCGTAGTGCAAAGCATGCGCGGGAGATGAGCGCACATCGACGCATCGCAATGATCTGGGCGCCAAGCTTTACGCTGAGCGCTTTGATCGCGCTATCTCGCTGGTAATGCTGAAAACACGCTATTTCCCCTGAGATAGGCACCACCAGGGCCAAGTGGTAGATATAAATAGCTGGCCATTTCGACGTTGAAGGCTGGCCATTTCGACGTATATATATATATATATATATATATGTATATATATGGTGAATGACGGGGGTCATCGGTGGTGGCAAAATGCGGCTGACAGTGTCGATATAACTGCTATAAAACAGGTATCCACACAAATAAAATGTTCACACATAAAATAAAAGTTTGCTAAGGGCCTACGATGTTGTCACAGCCGATCCGAAGTCAACTAGAAATCGTCTTTTTAGTGCTGCACTCTATTTTAGACAGTTATTTCTGCACAAAACAATCTACACAAACAGGCCATTACAAAAAAACATGTAATCAATCACACCGGTTGGTAGTAATGCTTACAAAACTTTTCTCAGAACTGGTACCTTTGTGATATTTTTATAGCTCCTCTGTCTACCTTTATTCATTCCCCAGTGCAAAGTTGGAAAGCGGATGTTTATTTCCTGGTTCACATCCCTGCCTTTCAAATCACATTTCTCCCTCTCTCACTTGATAGCACTCTTCATTGGTTATTAATTTCTGGTGAAATCGCAATGTGTTTGCTTTTCCGATCAGCATTTATATTCCCTTTATCATCTACAAATGTTGTTTTTTTATAATTGTGTATCCGGTTGATCGGCACTTTGTAATGCTTTCAGTGCTTTTGTGCCAATCTTACAGGCAATTATATGTACGGCTGAAGTAAATACAAAGGAATGATGAATGCTTGAACACAAGGTGCCTTTGAAGTCGGCGTTCCGACAAGTGTTCCTGTCTCTTTCAAGGCAGCGGTTTGCTGGACTTCTACCTCATTTGAACTGCTGTAACTGGGCATTCGAAGACATGAACTCAAAAGTTTTCAACACCTTAGACCTTTTACACGCCACTAAACCTAATCACAAAGGAGATATTGCATTATAGACCTGAGCAGCATTGTGATAGTCACTAATTGAGCGTAATTTTAACCTAGCAACTGCCAATTTGTAGACTTTGTCGCTAGCAACTGCCAATTTGCCAATTTGTCGCTCAAGCCAAGAGAATGAAAATGTTATAAAAAACTAAAAATTCTGAATTTAACAAACCGTATGTGTCAAAAATAATTGACATCAGGCATAGTTGTGACAAAAGCCAATGCGAGAATCCATGACTTTCATTTCCAACTTCATGATGGCTTTTTTTAGAAAACTCAAACCGCACCACTCACCTGTTCGGTACTGTGCCTCTGTTGGTGCGCTGATCTGCGTCTGGCTGATTGTCTGCACTGAGATGTTGTACGCCCGACCAGGCACGAGGCCATAGAAGGGGGCTTGCGCTGGACCGGGTGGCTCGCCTTCCTTGTCCACGTAGAGGATGGACTGAGATGCATCCTCTGGCGTGATGCTCACCTGCATTTTTATATTCAAATGCCTACGTTTGCAATTTTACAGGTAACGAACATGTTACAGCCAATGAACAGCATACTTATTTGTGACAAATGCATTGGCCTCATAAAATACCAACTGATGGCAAATTCATAAGGTTTTCAAAAGTCTAGTCAAAGATGGGTCGATCCCGGAGGCACTCATAAACCAGATATGCTGCAGAAAGCTCGCAATGCCACTGATTTCGGAGGCAGGGAAAAGCTACGGTACGTGCTAAAAGATTTCGAAGAGGGGCGGAGAAGAACCAGTATATCGACTGAAAAGTACAACATGGCCTTCGATTTGCATTTGTGTTAGGTTAGATTTTTATGTATATATAAGCTCAGTATAGAAACTAACGCCAAATAATCAGCTTTAGTTACCAGATTTGACATAATCAAAAACATACTGACTCGTTAATGGTCATAACTAAGGTATTACTCACCAAATATTGATCGAAAATGCCAGAGGGGTACGGGGGCTGCCACAGCACCAAGAGTGTAGTTTCATTTCGGAACCACACAATGAAACGGCCAGGGGCATTGGGTTCTATAAAAAAAAGAACATGAATTAGCAAATGAATCATTGTGATTTTTATTCAAAAGGCTGACGCTTTTGAATTGTTGGTAGGCTAGTGGAATGATGTCAGTAACATGCAATGTCTTCAATGAACAACTTGCGAAATATTTGTAAGTGTCTTTGCTGCAATGTTAAATTGCAACTAAAAAAACTCCGGTTAACATACCATCTTTCTCGTTCCTTATTCTCCGGTCCTGCAACGAAACCCAGTGAAGGAATGCGAACCCCACAAATGCATGTCGAAAATCCCTACAGAATCGTTACAACTCATTGTTTTATCCCTCTCCCTGTACATGCTGACCAGAGAATTGGTCATTGCGGGTAGCGTTTTAAATGTAATGGAGAGCAGGGAAGCACAAAATGAGAAATGCGGTCTGCAAAGTGGTGCTCAGCCGTACTTCTACAGTGGCTGCAGAAAACAGCGCCCTCTTTTTACCTCCCGAAGAACCATCTCTCTGCCTGTGAACGAGAGCTTTTGATTTCGAATAAAATCTTGCAGGAAAGCTGACTGTAAATCGACTGGAAGCACAACTGGAAATTGCCAGTTGTGCATACTCAAATCTTTTGTTTAATGCTCTCAAGGTTTAATAATGAAATTGGCCAGTTAAAGAACAACCTAGATGTCTGCACTTGACAGGAAACTCTACTTGACGGTAGTGTAGGATAAATACCGGGACAACACCGCTGTTTTTAGTTGCCCGTCTTCAGCAGGTGCTACCATCAAGTAGAACGCAATACTAACAAGCCCTCATTGTCATTGCCACCAGCAGCCTCGTGGACTGCAATATACCAAATGCGTACTTGTGGTGAAGTTTGACGAGGCCGATTGCTGCGATTCGCGGGACTTGTAGACGCTGAACAGTTGCAGCTGGTAGGTGCCTCCCGGGGTGAGGTCCCTGAGGGTGTAAGGAGGGTTCTCGTCGTTCAAGTGAACGCTGCGTTCGGGTGCCTCATCCTGGTCCGACAGTGGAGAGATGGCGAGCCGGTATCCCGTGATCTTGCCTTCGACCGGTGGTTGCCAGTACACGTGGGCCACCTTGCCCGTGTCAATTTTGATGGACAGGTTAGTGGGTGGGTCTGGCTCTGCAAAAGCATAGACCATGAAAAAAAAATGGAACCAAGACAAAGTTAATCTGTCCGGCCTAAAACTAAATGAGTAGCTTTGCCTGTAGAGCTTCCTAGCGCAAAACAACAACACAAGACAAATGACAAGATAAATTCTTGTATTTTCGTTTCACCCTAATAATGCACTACTTATTGACAACAACTATAGTCTAAAAAAGCCTTGTAATGAGCTTTGTCTAGATCTTCTTCTCTTGTTTGTCTACTAATGCTGGTGTCACGTGCCCCTCTGGATTGCAATTAGGCCTCAGAAGAATCCAATGTAACTGTCATATGTGGCTCTATCACACAAGCTGCAGACGGTACCAAATCACGGGTGGCCCTGGAGGGAAGGGGCGAAACTTGCGTGACTTTCCTGATCCTCCCCCCCACTGTTTGTTTTTTAATGTAAATCTGAGCATAGGCATCAACAACCCATAGGCATCTTTGGGTATCACACCTCTGTGTAAGCCGACCCCACCCTCTGAACCATTGAAGAATCAGCAGTGTACAGTGTGCACTACCTGAAACTGGTATGAAAAACATATGAAATCTTTGTTACATGGCCTGATATGCACTTGATACTCACCTTCATTATAGGTCACACGCTTGTAATATCCTAACGGCTTTTCAACTTACCTGGGAAAATGCTACTCTCCTATAAAACGAAGACGCTGGGAAGGCAGGCAGATAGAGAGTATCAGAGTGTAGAAGGTCTGTCTTCTATTAAGGCATTTCACTAACTCAACCTTTACTAAACAGGAGATTCGTTAGTGATTGGAAAGACACATGAACAGTTCAAGGAATCAACAGTGAACGAAAAATGAAATCTTTAGCACTGACTCAAGTTTCGTGAAGGAGACCTGTCTTTGTCAAGACCTGATGGAGACAAGTTTCCACCCAGAAATTTTGGCTTTAACAAAGCTAAGGCTTCTCTTCGTCCACTGTTGACCTGTAACTACATAACCACTGGAGTTGTATTAAAATGAAGCCCTTGTGCTCGAATCAAACATGCCTAGTGTTATGCAGAAAAGTACCCAACATACAACCATAAATGAGTTATTTCATAAAAACATAGTAGCAGGGTGAAATGTTACATGCATATTAGGTTAGAGCAGGTCCTTTTGAAAAGTGGGGTGCTTTTTAAGCTTGTTTCATTGACAGACTCAAATGTTTGATGCCAATCTTTACTTGCAATGGTAATTTAGACTGCATTCCTCTCATAAGTTACCTGCTGTCCCTGAACTTTAGTATATAAATCAGATTCAATATGTGAACGTTCAGGCAGCGTCTTAACATATTGCTGCAATGCATTTATTAAATCTGTTGGTAAGTGCACAGTATTTACATGGAATGATGTGGAAGTGGTACGTCAGATAAATGTCATGCCATTTTGTGCAATCACAAATTCGCGCTCTGCTAGCCAAACGCTGTTGTACAGTATCCTTACGGGGTCAAATTTCAGGAGTGTATATATCTGAGTATATATCTGAGAGGATGGACTAGTACTACAACAGATAATTGCCGTTCTCTGGAGGAGCCCACCGCATGAGTAAAACCTGTGGTTGTTCCAGCAACAGGTGACACCTGCTGGCCTAGTATTAGACCCTTAGCGGAACTCGTTGGTGTGTGTTAAGAAAAAAATGTTTGAAAATTTCGAGTACTTCGTACTCAAATATTGGAGAGCAGTGAGCCGTCCTGATGAAGCTGCCAACAGACCCACAAAAATTCTTAAGCAATACTTCTAGCTGAGCGTATTGGTACTTATGAAGGACGAGTGAAGCAGAGCACTGACAACAAATAAGAACTTATCAGTCAGCTCTCATTCCGTAATCATTGTGTCAGAACCATTGCTCGCACCCGTGTTCCCTCCTTGTCAGCTTAGAGTAAAATAAATATCTTTCAACAAGCTCTTCATTGTTTTATCCGACCCGGCGAATGTCATTTCCTCTCGTCGTACCGGCAATGATGTCGTCGGACGTTAGTGCGGCACGAACCGGTAACGGCACTGGAAGGGATCGTGGATGAGCACGTGTGCTTGGCGTGGTACACCCCAGTTCGGGCACTGGCCCCATGCACCTGCCGGCCGTGGTCAGTGGGTTGTAGACAGGGTAGAGTGGAGGAGGTAGTTGTGGTGGTGGTGGTTGTGGAGGAGGGATTGGTGGTGTGTTGGCGAGTGGTGGTGGTTGGTGGTAGTGACTGGGATAGAGGGAAGAAGGAGGTGGCGCCGCCTGTACCGCATGCCGGGCCTGGTAGCCTGGGTAGTTCAGGGCCGGGAAAGGGGCTTGGTAATTGGATTGCCCTGTGCAGGCCAGCGAAGAGGGCGAGAAAACAAAGAAAAAGAGAAAGGGGAAAAAATGTAGGGTGGTGTGAGCAGTATGTTGCTTATCTTTACTTGGTTACAACTTGAGAATAAAACAAGCTCCGCCCCTAGAGCTCTGGCATGCCTGTCATTCATCTGTGTGCAAATGAGCGATCCTATGTGTTCTCCATTGTAAGTTTTCGCTGTTAATGTAGACGCTATGCATATCAGTAATTGAGAGTTGGTCATGCTTGCTCAAAATCCATGAGTCGTGATGCCAGAAACTTAGCTGAAATTCCTCACAATTTACCGAAGACTAGTGACACTAATATGTGTGTGTGAGAAAATCAACTACCTGAAAAACAAAAGTTTTTTGACACTCACAGAAATCTTTAAATGCAATTGGACGGGGAATGACTGTGGGCGGAGCATACACTTATTCTTAAGTTGTTACTAAGTATATATGCATTATTTTGAGGTTTCAATTTGAAAGTGGGTATATAATCTCGGTCATAAAACGATGTATCGCTAGTTTCATGTTTGGCACTGAATATATCTGGATTATACAGACGTGGCGTGGCAAGATCGATGATGATCATGACACTATTATTACGAGTTCTCATTGCACTAAGTTGCACAATATTGCCACTGACAAAACCTGCAACCTTAAACGTCATAGTAAATGGAGTCCTTTTGGATTTCAATCTCTGGTCCTCTACACTAATAATATAAAACAGCCAACAAATCAGAAATAAAGGCAAGTTTCCAAAACAGCTGTGAAAACAACTTCACTTCATGCATACAGTGTGTAACATTTATAAAATGTGCAGGATTCAATACTCGTGTAACCACACGTTATACGTCTGTACAGTTCGTGGGTTCTGAAGTGTTGTGTGCAATTCTAGTAAGTAAAAAAAAAAAAAGCTAGCGCACATATAGGTATAGTGTCCCCTGAACACTCTATGCACCACTTGCGAAACCCTGTATGCTGCCCCAAAATTTATTTTGTACTTACTTTTGAAATGGGGCATTTGACGCCAAGAAATCCGAGGCATTTTCTTTGACCTAGTGTTAAGAGCACACTGCACACATTGGAAAGTGAAGAAAACGAAGAGGGAAGCATGCAAGGTAGAAGCCTTAACCAAGCGTGTAGATGAGTATAGCATATGGGCCGAAAAGGATGAAGACAAATTAAAATGTGTTGTGGGACTTGTGTACAGGATAGCCAACCACCATTAAACCACCGACAACACACCACACATCCACACCCTTCATCAACCACCAAATGTTAACGCACAGAAAGAGAAATTATAAGCTGATTAATAGACAGTGGTGTCACCAGCTGTGAACACACCACACTTGGCAGGCAGTCTCATCACCTTCGAAGACGTTACTGATCCATAATGCATGATGAATAACAGAATTCGCCCATGATACAAGGCTAAATCTCTCGCATCAGTTTGGGAGGATAATGAATGATATGCAACAAATGAAAATATATGGGTAAGAATGATGTAGAAAATGAAATTGTTTGACACAAAATCTATCTATAGCGAGCCTGTCCTCAATCGCTCTCATCGATCTCATTAAAGAATGTCTGTATGCTTGCACTGCCAAATGTTTCAGTACTTACATTTCTATACTTCGCAAGGTAGTTCAGCTTGTACGTACATGCCGACATAAAATTTATAAGTGTCCCTGAACCAAATGAAAAATCGAGATTCTATGAAATGACATGTACACAAAAACACTTCTGCTACAGGCCGACAGTTTTAATTTTTTATCATAACAGGAAAAAATTTTGCGTAACTGATAGTCTAGGCTTATGCAAAATATCTGGCAATGCATAATAGGAGCACGAGTATAAAATCGAAGCTCGTAAATATGAGCCAGTTTTACTAGCGTTATAAAAAGGCAGCTAAAATGGAAAGCATAAACAAAAAAAATTCTCGCAACGTCTGGCAAGCACGGCTCCAACGCGGACAGTGAGTGGCTTCCCCACATAGCGATAGAGCCCAAGATGGCGTATATTGGCGCGACTCTGCTATCTATATGTAGCACATGCAGTAACGCTAGCAGAGCCGACAAGCAAGCGTAACCACCTGCAGGCAAAGGCTGCCCGAGTTTTTTTTTTTTTTATTTGAATATACTGCAGGCCCTTCACGGCCCAAGCAGGAGTGGGTACACAGATACATCGAAATACATACATTGCCAAAAAAAAAATCATGGTGCAAATTCAATACACTGTATGCGGTTGATGAAAGAGTCAATCGTACTACAACAAACAATGTCGTTGGGTAGGCTGTTCCAGAGGGAGATAGCTGACGGAAAAAGTGAATGTTTGTGAGCGTTTACACGACTTAAAGGTTGGCGTATTGTTTTAGAATGATTTAGTCGGAATGATTGTTTAAGTGGATCTTGCAGATAATGAGAGCGTGATATGTGGAAATGACCATGATATAATTGGTAAAGGAATTTTAATCGTGACATTATTCTGCGTTGAAAAAGTTGTTTTAAGTTTGCCCTTGCGAGTAAATCTGCGGTACTGGACTGCCTCGCGAATTCTGAATATACGAACCTTACTGCCAATTTTTGTATTCGTTCTATTTTACTAATCAGGTACTTTTGATGTGGACTCCAGATGAGATCGGCGTACTCTAAACATGGTCTAATTAGTGTTTTGTAGGCATTTATTTTAATATGTGGTGGTGCATTGCGCAGTTTTCTTCTCAAGAAAGATAATTTCTTTTCCGCTTTCTGACACATGGCCAAGATGTGTGGTTCCCAGTTAAGATTCGGCGTGAGTGTAATGCCTAGGTATTTTACTTGATTGCATTTTTCGATAATTGAGTTTCCAATCCTATATGTATAGTTAAGGGGGGATTTCTTATTTGTAAAAGAAATGCAATGCGTTTTTGATGTGTTTAATTTCATGCCCCAAGTATTGCACCAGGAATAAATTGCCTGAAGTGAATTGTTAAGTTTAGTTTGGTCGTCTGAATTGCGCACGACTGTGTACACGACACAGTCGTCGGCAAACAGACGCATCTGAATAGGGTTCTCAACGGAAAAGTGGATGTCGTTAATAAACATTAAAAATAGCAGAGGTGCAAGAACCGATCCCTGAGGTACACCAGAATAAACATCAAGTGGTTCTGATAGCTGATTGTCAATTTTAACGCTTTGTTTCCGTTTAGTTAAGAAGTTGTTGATCCAGGATATTATTTTGATATCAATACCAAAAGCCGTTAGTTTTTGACTAAATCCAGATGTGGGACAACGTCGAACGCCTTAGAAAAGTCTAAAAATATAGCATCTAATTGGACGTTATCGTTGATTGCGTTGGCTATGTCATGAGTTAATTCAGCTAATTGGGTTATAGTTGAGAGGCCTGATCTGAAACCATGCTGTTGTTTGTAGAGAAGTTCGTTTGTTTCTAGGTGAGTTATTATGGCCTTGAAAATTACATGTTCCATTATTTTGCAGCACGAACTCGTAAGTGACACTGGGCGGTAGTTGCTTATTTCTAGTTTGGGGCCTGATTTATGTATAGGAACTACTACAGCATTGCACCAGTCGTCTGGTATCTGTGAAGTTTGAAGAGATAACGTGTATATTTTAAAGAGATACTTAGATGTCCAATTAGCGTATCGGCTTAAAAATGAGTTAGTGATTTGATCGGGGCCCGTAGATTTCTTTTGATCAAGCTTTTGTAATAGAGAAAGTATGCCCTCCTCATTTACGATTAATTCTTCCATGGGTATTTTCACAGTATAAGGAGGTAGTAGCGCATTACTGGTATGTTTCGTGAAAACTGACTGAAAAAACTTGTTCATCTCATTAGCAATGTGTTCGGGATCTTTAATGATTTGTTCCGAATTTTTAATTTGTGAGATTGAGTCTCGTTCATCTGATAAGTATCGCCAGAATTTTTTGGGACAGTGTGCCATAAACGAAGCTAACGTAGTGTTAAAGAAGCGGGTTTTTGCTTCTGACATTTTATGCTTTAATGTCCCGATAAGATCACGTACGTTGTTTTTGGTTCCCTTTTTCTGCCGTCATTTTATTTTTCTTTTCAGTTGAATTATCTCACGCGTTATCCAAGGGTATTCTCGGTTGATGCGTTTCTTTTTATTCGGAATGAATGTGTCTTCGCAATATTTAACAGTGCTTTTAAAATGCGCCCAAAGTTCTTTTACGTCTGTAAGCTCAATGAATTCATGAAATTGTGTTTCCAGGAAACGTAGCACAGCAGGGTCATTTGCACGTGCGTAATCTTTAAAGTAAGTAGGTAGTGGCTTTTTGTATTTCTTCGCGCATGAAATAGGGCAGGTTAAGGTAATCGATTTGTGATCGGAAATGCCATTCTCGATGGACGCAGAAGAACCTTCTAATGTACTACTTACAAACGCTAGGTCAAGTAAAGACGATGACGTCGCAGTGATCCGAGTGTTATCAGTTACTAGTTGATTCAATGAAAACGCGAACGCTACGTCCAGTAGTAATTCTGAACTAGCAACGTCACGACCATCATGTGAACCATTGTTCCAATTTATTCCGGGAAGATTAAAATCCCCAGCAAGGATAATTTTTGACCTAGAGTTAGTATGCTTTGAAAGATAATCATGAATCACTTCAATGTAGTCAGGTGCCGCATTTGGAGGCCGATATACCCCTCCTACAATTATACTTTTATCATAATATGTTATTTTGCACCAGACGCTTTCGTGGTCGGGAATGCCATCGAGTTCAAAGGATTTGATATTTTTTTTAATTGCTACCGCTACGCCCCCGCCTCTTGACCCTCTATCTTTACGGAGCAGTCTGTATGAGGGAGGGACGACTTCCGAGTCACGTACTCCGGAGTGAAGCCAAGTCTCTGTTATTATTAGAACGTGAGGTTGGTAGGACGAAATTATGTTCTCTAGTTCATCAAACTTGTTTAGCACACTTCTGGCATTGAGGGAAACGATTCTAAGTGTTTTAGTACTGTGCTGTCAGTTCGAGTTTTTCTTATTTGTAGAAGTTTTATGCTTAGATGAAGTTGGTCGGTTGTTTCGTGGTGGACCCGCTTTCTTCGATATATCTGTTCTAGCATTCTTTACTGGGTCCCAAGTATAAACTTTATCATTGACTTTCAGTTTATCGAACGACAGTTTGACTTTTGCTCCTTTGGCCCTTTCGTTTGCCGCAGAGTGCCATAAGTGCGCGCGCATATCCCTTACTCTTTTGGAAAAATCTTCGGAGACGGATAAGGGCGTACCCTTGAGTTTATAACAGCAAGATAAGATTTTGTTTTTTTCACTGTAGTCGAAGAGACGTAGGATGATTGGCCTTCCCTGGCTGGTTCTATGGTTGCCTATTCTATGAATCCTTTCGATGGTCTTTACTTCGATACCGAGTGTTTGTTTCAGAATGTCATCTTTTACTTTCTTTTCCAGTAAGATAGCATCTTCGTCAGACTCTTCCTTTACACCATAGATAATCAAGTTATTACGTCGGCTTCTGTTTTCTAAATCATCCAGTTTAAGTGCAAGACTTCCAATTTCATCTTTCATGGTGGCGTGCTTACTTTCATACTCGGCCAATTTTTCTTCGCAGTGTTTAAGTCGTTCCATATCAATTTCGATTTTAGTGAGCCTGGTTTCCATATTATCCACAGTTCGTTCAACCTTTTTCAAATTAGCCACTACTTCCTTTAACGTTTTATTTGCTTTAGTTTGTTCTTTGAGTATTTGTTTTAAAATGTCATTGTTGGGACGGGTGTCCGATTCCGAATCAGAATTCGGACCGGGATTTAGCTCAACATCACCCGATGTTAGTAACAGCAGCTTACACACATCATAGCAATCAGCAATCAGGGCAACAAGAAAGCGTGGACTTGGCAGCACCATCAGGGTTACATCATCGTCTATTAATGAGGTTACCGAGTAATTGTTACTAACCTGCACAACGAAAAGAGCAGGAATAAGCATCGGTCCCTGGTCGGTGCCACCAAGTCCACTGAAGTGTCTCGTGTCATGAGCCAGGCTTTTATACTGTTGGGCGCCTGCTTGCGTCGACGAGCTCTTCATGTTCTTCTCCTTTCCCGTTTTTTTATCTTTCCCTACGTTGCGCTCTCTCCTTTCCCTCTCCTAACATAACGTCACTCCTCCTCACCCTCACCTGTTTCTCATTTCTTACTATGCTATAATATACAAGGCTATACTATGCTTTACCTTTCTGTTTCTCCTACTAGCCCTCACATTACTTTCCACTCCCTTGCTATATTGCACTACAGTGTTCACATAAAAAACAGCGCCAATAACGAGGGACAAGAAAAGGAGACAGACAGCGGCACTGTCTGTCCTCTTCTTTTCTTGTCCCTCGTTATTGGCGCTGTTTTTTATGTGAATAATGTCGTACCAACTCGCCCAAGCAACCACGTTATGCACTACAGTGGCCAGAAAGGTACTGTGCACGGATATATGCTATGCTAGAAGCTGATAGGCACACACTCGCTCTCTGTGGCGCACACCCACCGAGTTCTGCGCCTACGGCACCGGCCTGACCCCGCGCTTAAACAGCCCTGCTGTTAAGTATGGGGGAATGCAGTCGACGTACCGGTCTCTATGACACTCGTCCATAGCCGGTGATTGTTAACTGTGCCGTTGCTGAGGTAGAGTTGGAAGTTGTAGTCCGTGCCCGGCAGCACGCCGTCGATGGGAACGCCCTCTACGGAGTCTGTGGCCGGAAACGTGAAGTTGGGTCCCGGGTCGCCCACAGGCGGGGAGTAGTCGACCCTCAGCTCGCCCCCAGGTAGACTGGTGTACTCGCTGGGTAGGTGTAGCGTGAGCTGGTTCACTCCACCCACCTGCAAGGAGAAATAAATATGACAGCCATTATTATTACGTACACACATCAATGCTTTGTCATTTACAGGCAGTGTTTACACATGCATCCTTTGGAACATCTGTCGTCAATTCGTCTCATGGTCACATCACCTGAACTCTAATGCGACCTGCACTGGAACACCTTACTTGAACGCGCGTGTGCATGTATTCATCATGATCATCATCATTTTCTGTCCGGTTATGCCCACTTTAGGATTAAGGCCTCTCCCGATAATCTCTAGCTTAGCCTATCCTCTGCGAGCGCGATTTTTACTTTAAGTCATCGGCCATCTCCATTTCGTCACTCCATCTAATTATATGTCTTCCTCAACTACATTTCCCATTTGTTGCCTGTCTTTCCTGCGAAATACGCGGCCAGTGGCATGTTCAGGGAACCTGTTTGTTCCCTAGCCCTGTTTGTTCCCTGACTAACTATAGCATCCTCCGATCTCTTGGTATCACTCCTATCAATTTTCGTTTCTTTGCACGCTCAACTTTTTGTATAGTTACTTTCTCAATGTTTATGCAATTACTTTTTCCTCCCTGTTTCACTCGTTACAACTGGGAATACGCAGTGATGTGATAATTTCTGCTTTAATGACAGTGACAGATTTCATGACATAATTTGGCAGTGCCTGCCTATTTCACTGCAGCCCATTGTTATTCTTCAGTGAATTTTGTACCCTTGGTTGTTCTATCATGTTAGCATCTGCCCAAGGTGTACATATTCTTGTTTACACTTTATATGTATTGTCCACTTTTAGTATATTACATCTGCAATTAATGACGTCCCTGTCATAGCTTGCGGATAAGCCTTCATGCGTGGGCCTGGCTATTACAATGAACAAGGACATGCCACACATACACTAATTTCGTAGGACATGCGGGTGGCTTAGTTTAGGGCTACGGGCGCGTGCTTGTCAAGCCACCCCTTGTGGCACTATGTGGGCACGTCTTAGTACAGATCTTCCCATACCACAGCGCGCGCTTGACGCTGCTCTTGAAAGGCCCCCATCCTGGGTGGTCTGGCCCGGCCACGTATACACCTCTGCGGAGGCGTCGACGGTTCGTTCGTGCTAAGCGTTCCACGAGAGCAACGCCCCGCTGTGGTCCACCACCCAAAAACTCTTCGGCGCAGCGTACTCACTTCGACCCCTCTCTCCCCGGCCCGCCTGCCACTCACTCACACAAAGCACCAGCCGTCGCGCTTATAGCCGTCCTGTTCATCGTCCATCCGATGAGTGCCGGAGAGACGGCCGTGCAATCGCCTTGACCTGGTTGTTATACAATGCGCGCCAGCTCCACTGGGCAACAGTCCGGCGAGAATTGAGCGCCGCGAAAAGCCGTTGCAGGACGTGGGCCGAAGTACGAACCGCCCACACTTGAGCAACGGCAAAGGCAATTTTCGTCCGTGTACCAAAGATTATTGATAGGCCTCTTTGAGTCATTCGCAATGACCCGGATATCCCCACGCCATGTTGACCTTCACCACAAGTTCCACTAAAGGAATTAACTTTGACAGCCCCTACACGGCTCTGTCACCCCCGTCGCGATCAATTTTGAAAACATGGTAGCGCACGTGTGTGCACTCTTCTGACTTGTCTAACACTGCTGACCGCTTTTCACGGTGTCAGGAGTTCACACTGTACACAATGTACACAGTGCAGTAGCAACGTTTACCTTATACTTGCCTTATGTTATGTACCCACGTAAGTACAATACTAAATACAAAGAGCCACTCGCATACGCTTGTGGAAAAACACAATCAGTGGATGCAGACCAGGCGCTACGTGACGTCAGCTTTCCATCTTTGACGCTGCTGAGGTCCGCGCCGTGTGCAGTCACAAACATGATTGACGCGAATACTTTTAGCCGGTATACAAGAGGCTGTAATGTGTCGAGATAGACCACGCGCGGACCCGGACTGTAATTTTTGTTTCGGATGGCCATGAATCGGCTCTTTTTTGTTTCGATTAATTGATATGTGGGGTTTTACGCCCCAAAACCACCATGAGTGACGCCGTAGTGAAAGGCTCCGGAAATTTTGACCACCTGAGATTCTTAAACGTGCACCCAAATCTGAGCACACGGGCCTACAACATTGCCGCCTGCATTGTAAATGCAGCCGCCACAGCCAAGATTCAATCCCACAACCTACGGGTTAGCAGCCGAGTACCTTAACCACTAGACCGCCGCGGCGGGGCTCTTTTTTATTATTTTTTTTATTTCGAAGGCACTACATTGATACAATTGATCGGTTTATATTGATAAATTATGCTCTCAGAACTTCAATGTCGGTGATTTCACTGTAGTAGGTTCAATAACGCTGAAGAAAACCAAGGTTAAAATTTCATTTTTAAAACTTCGAATCAGAGAGTCATCGAGTGACGTCACGCATTTAAAATTGTATTTCTTGTATTTTCGTGACATTGGCTGAACAAAATTTTCTGGAACTTGGTATGTTAAACCTATGGACTCCTCAGAGGACGATGTAATTCATTTTTAGTGAATAATGACTTCGAGCGAATAACGAAAATATTTCATAATCTATGAGACCTTGGCATTTATTTGGTGCGGGAACATCAACGTGATGTCACCAACCAAATTTTCTTTTCGCGCTTTTTCGCTTACCAACCATTTTCCCGCGGCAAGCGCAGAGGTTTTGGAATTATTAAACAATAACATACTGATCAGAGAAGAAAAATTGTTTTTCTATAATATTCCAATAAAGTCATATTTTGCCGCGGCGGCGATTCAACCCCGCGACCTGCTTTCAGTCGAGCTCTATAACCGCTCGACCTCCACGGCGGGGTCATGAAAAACGTAACAATGTTCTGAAACAATAACAGCGATGCGACAGCTATGGGTTTAAAACAACGAGACAGCTGTCTAGTTGAATGTAGCTGACTGCATTTAAAATGCTTCTATAAATGTAGCTTACTGCAATTAGGTTGAGTCCAAATATATCATTGAGCTCTTTAGTCATCATCATCATCATCAGCCTGACTACGTCCACTGCAGGACAAAGGCCTCTCCCATGTTCCGCCAGTTAACCCGGTCCTGTGCTTGCTGCTGCCAATTTATACCCGCAAACTTCTTAATCTCATCTGCCCACCTAACCTTTTGTCTCCCCTTAACCCGCTTCCCTTCTCTGGGAATCCAGTCAGTTACCCTTAATGACCAGCGGTTATCCTGTCTACGCGCTACATGCCCTGCCCATGTCCATTTCTTCTTCTTGATTTCAGCTATGATATCCTTAACCCCCGTTTGTTCTCTAATCCACTCTGCTCTCTTCTTGTCTCTTAAGGTTACACCTACCATTTTTCTTTCCATTGCTCGCTGCGTCGTCCTCAATTTAAGCTGAACCCTCTTTGTAAGTCTCCAGGTTTCTGCTCCATAGCTAAGTACCGGCAAGATACAGCTGTTATATACCTTCCTCTTGAGGGATAGTGGCAATCTACCTGTCATAATATGAGAGTGCTTGCCGAATGTGCTCCACCCCATTCTTATTCTTCTAGTTACTTCAACCTCGTGGTTCGGCTCTGCGGTTATTACCTGCCCTAAGTAGACATAGTCTTTTGCAACTTCAAGTGCACTGTTACCTATCTCGAAGCGCTGCTTCTTGCCGAGGTTGTTGTACATCACTTTCGTTTTCTGCAGATTAATTTTAAGACCCACCTTTCTGCTCTCCTTGTCTAACTCCGTAATCATGAGTTGCAATTCGTCCCCCGAGTTACTCAGCAATGCAATGTCATCGGCGAAGCGCAGGTTACTAAGGTATTCTCCATTGACTCTTATCCCTAACTGTTCCCATTCTAGGCTTCTGAAAACCTCCTGTAAGCACGCGGTAAATAGCATTGGGGAAATTGTGTCCCCCTGCCTTACACCCTTCTTGATTGGTATTCTGTTGCTTTCTTTATGAAGCACTATGGTAGCAGTTGATCCCCTGTAGATTTCTTCCAGAATGTTTATATATACTTCATCTACGCCCTGATTCCGCAGTGTTTGCATGACGGCTGATATTTCTACTGAATCAAACGCCTTCTCGTAATCTATGAAGGCTATGTATAGTGGTTGGTTATACTCTGAGCATTTCTCTATTACCTGATTGATAGTATGAATGTGGTCAATTGTTGAGTAGCCTGTTCGAAATCCTGCTTGTTCCTTTGGTTGATTGAATTCTAATGTTTTCTTTACTCTGTTAGCAATTACCTTTGTAAATAGCTTGTATACTACAGAGAGCAAGCTGATCGGCCTGTAATTCTTCAAGTCCTTGTCATCTCCTTTCTTATGTATTAAGATGATGTTAGCGTTCTTCCAAGACTCTGGTACTCTTCCCGTCAGGAGACACCTCGTAAACAGGGTGGCTAGTTTTTCTAACACAATCTGCCCTCCATCTTTCAGCAGATCTGATGTTACCTGATCCTCACCAGCAGCTTTGCCCCTTTGCATGCTCTCCAAAGCTTTTCTGACTTCTTCTATCATTACTGGTGGGGTGTAATCTGGGTTACTGCTAGTTCTTATAGTATTAAGGTCGTGGTTGTCTCGGCTACTGTACAGATCTCTGTAGAACTCTTCCGCTATTTTAACTATCCCATCCATATTGGTAGTTATTTTGCCTTCTTTGTCCCTTAGTGCATACATCCGACTTTTGCCTATCCCAAGTTTCCTCTTCAATGCTTTCACACTTCCTCCGTTTTTCAGAGCGTGTTCAATTCTCTCCATGTTATACCTTCTTACATCGCATACCTTACGTCTAATAATCAACTTCGAAAGCTCTGCCAGTTCTATTTTGTCTGTTGTACTTGACACTTTCATAATTCGACGCTTATTAATTAGGTTTTTCGTTTCCTGGGAAAGTTTCCCAGTGTCCTGTCTAACTACCCTGCCTCCAACTTCCACTGCACACTCCGTAATGATATTCGTCAGATTATCATTCATTGTATCTACGCTAAGGTTGGTTTCCTCACTAAGAGCAGAG